CCAGATACTCTTGGTTTACAACACACATAAGCATACATAATGAAATACATTGCTGTCCCTTTGAACAAACTGTTATATGTTAGATCATTCAAGAATAGGAAAAAATCAGTGCTTTTATTTTTTTAAATGTTCTGTCTTTATTGCATTTTCTTTCTTTATGTCATTTCTGTGTCTTTGCTATTGTGAATAATGCTGTGATAAATGTCCAGGAGCATGTGGCTTTTTGGTAGGATGAAGTATTTTGTGTTGGGTATACACCCAGTAGGGAATTGCTTAGTTCAGTAGTAGCTCTGTTTTAAGTTTTTTGAGAAATCTCCAGACTGCTGTTTACAAAATCTCCAGACTGCTTTCCACAGTGCAGTCTGTATTTCCACCAGTAGCGTATTAGTGTTACCTTTTCTCTACAGCCTCACCAGGCTCTGCTGTTTCCTTTTTAATAACAGTCATTCTGATTGGTGTGGGATGGTATCTCATTGCTGTTCTGATTTGCATTTCTCTGATTATTAGTGATAATAAACATGTTTTCATGTTTGTGGGCTACTTGTATAATTTTTCTTGAGAAGTGTCTGTTCGTGTCCTTTTCCTATTTTTAGTGGGATTATTTGTTTTTTTGATTGTTAAGTTCCGTACAGATTCTAAACATTAGAACTTTGTCAGCTGCAGAGTTGGGGTAAATGTTTTATACCATTCTGTATGTTGTCTGTTTCCTCTATTCATAGTTCAGTTTGCTATGCAGAAGCTCTAATTTGATTAGGTCTTACTTGTCCATTTTTGGTTTTATTGTAATAGCTTTTGTGGACTTAGCCAAAAATTATTTGCCAAAGTTAATATCAGGATATTTCCTAGGTTTTCTTGAAGAATTTTTAGTTTGAGTTCTTACATTTAAATTTTTAATCCATTTTGAATAAATCATTTTACTTATTTAATTATTTTGAGATGGAGTCTCTGTCACTTTGTCACCCTGGTTGGTATGCAGTGGCACAATTTAGGCTCACTACAACATCTGCATCCCAGGTTCAAGAGATTCTCCTGCCTCAGCCTTCAGAGTAGCTGGGATTATAGGCTTGTGCTACCATGCCCAGCTAATTTTTGGATTTTTAGTAGAGACAGAGTTTCACCACATTTGCCAGGCTGGCCTTGAACTCCTAACCTCAAGGGATCCACCTGTCTTGGCCTCCAAAAGTGCTGGGATTACAGGTGTGAGACACCATGCCCAGCCTTGAGTAAATAATTTTATATTGTGAAAGGTAGGGGTCCAGCTTCAGTCCAGAACCATTTACTGAACAGGGGATCCTTTCCCTATTGCTTGTTTTGTCAGATGATTGTGGATGTGCAGCTTCCTTTTCGAGTTCTCCATTTTTTTCTGGTAGTTTACATGTTTGCTTTTGTACCAGTACCATGCTGTTTCAATTACTGTAGCCTTATAGAGTAGTGTGAAGTCGAGTAGTGTGATGACTTCAGCTTTGCTCTTTATGCTTAGGATTGCTTTAGCTATCCACATTCATTTTTGCTTTAATATGAATTTCAGAATGGTTTTCTCTAATTTGGCAAAATATTATATTTGTACTTTGAAAGGAATAATATTGAATCTATAAATTGCTTGGGTAATGATAGAGTTGGGATATTTGTTTCTGCCCAGATCTCATGTTGAGTTACAGATCCCAGTGCTGGAGGTGGGTCCTGGCAGAAGGTGTTTGAACCATGAGGGTGGATCCCTCATAGCTGGATGCTGTCTTCATAAAGTAAGTTATGAGAGCTGATCATTTAAATGTGTGTGGCACCTTCCCCACATCTCCCTCTGTCTCTCTCTCTCTCTCTCTCCCCCCTCTCCTCTCCCCTCTCACATTCTCACCATGGGATGTTGATATTCACTCGGGGTGGCTGGCAAAATATTAAAGATATATTAGGAAGTTATAGATTAGTCTCAAGCCTTTCGGAAGGCTAAAAGTTTTTATTGGGACAGGCTGAAGATGGCAGGCCCATTAGTTAGGGAGAAAATAGGGACCAGGCTTTCCCAATTTAAGTCTGCTTACCCCACATCCCTTTGTCTCCAGTCTGTTTACTCATGTAAATTTTCTGCTGGGTGGTCCTCTCAGGAGGAGATCAAAGGGGAATTAACTGTTAATAGTGTTTACTCTGGGCCCAGAACCTAAAGCTTTTATTCATAAAACCACTCTTTTAACCATGTTAATTATCCACAAGAGTGTTGATTTAGACCCTCTGCTGTACAATTCATACTGAATAAATGTAATGATGGAGAGGGATTCGTGGTTGATTGCTTGCATTTCACCCTCTGAAAGCAGCCAATGGGCATCCCTAGCCCACTCATATCACTGTAATGGTGTGAGAGTACATTCATTCATCTGTCGTTAAGTCAAGGTCGCAGGCCAGACTTCCGCAGGTGGTAGACATCTTAGATGGTGACCCTGATGTGATAGCCGTCACAGCAGGAGCTCGAATGAGGAACAAACCAATGTGATCACTGCTGCAAAGAAGGAACAGCAGACCTCCTGGGACCAGAAAGTAGAGGACTGTGCGGTCAGGTCAAGAAGTCAGTAAGTCATGTACCCACTGGGGATTGCCAAGCTTAGTGAGGCATTGTTTCAGGCTAGGGATTCATCATGGGACAGCAGTTATCAGCTCAAGAGATAAAAGTACAGAATGTAATTCAAGCTGCTGTTTCCCAAGGCCCATAGTTCTCGGTAAAGAACACACTGGATGTAAAGCTTTGTGAACAAGTGGGGAGAAATCATGCACAAAAGCATCTAATAAATAGGAAAAAGGACAAAGAAAATGCTACAGCTATAGGAATTTGACTTAAACAAACATGACAGAAAAAATATTTTGCCTGCCCAGTAATTAATAATTGGCAAGGCAATCAGGTGTGTGTTTATAAAAGGAGTAAGAAAAGGCCAGAGCTGTGGCCAAGCAAAAGAAAAGAAGGGGGAAAAAAGACTCTGGCAGGAAAGCTCCGCCCAAAACCTCCAGCCACCGCCCAGGCAGGGGGAGTGAGCAGCACAAGTGGAAAGCAGCAGGCAGCACCTGGGTGGGGCCAGCATGGCTGCTGTCTGCCACGCTACTGTGTGCTGCTCTCCAGGGTGTCCCACAGTAACATTGTGTGTGTTCTTTGTATATAAGCAACATCCCAAATTGTAAATTGTGGGAGGTGTTTGTTCAGTAATTCCAAATGGTGTTTTCAAATTCACCTTCCCACCCTCACCACTGTAGTACTGTAGTAACTACACTACTTCCCTCACAAAGACTACTGCAGAGATTTCTTGGGGAAATATTAGAACTATTATACTTTCTTTCTTTCTTTTTTTTTTTTTTTGAGACGGAGTTTCACTCTTGTTACCCAGGCTGGAATGCAATGGCACGATCTCGGCTCACCACAACCTCCACCTCCTGGGTTCAGGCAATTTTCCTACCTCAGCCTCCTGAGTAGCTGGGATTACAGGCACGCGCCACCATGCCCAGCTAATTTTTTGTATTTTTAGTAGAGATGGGGTTTCACCATGTTGACCAGGATGGTCTCGATCTCTTGACCTCGTGATCCACCCGCCTCGGCCTCCCAAAGTGCTGGGATTACAGGCGTGAGCCACCACGCCTGGCCTATTAAACTTTCTTATTTCAGGGACCCTCAAAATTATAGACTAGGCATTTTATATGTGAATTTAAGCTTGTTTCATTGCCCTTGTTTTCAATCCAGTCTACACAGCAACCACAGTATTCAGTTTTTAGAATTCCAAGCCATATCATAACAGTCCTGTTTTAAATTACCTGCTCCATTACTCATTAGAATGTAAGCTTAACAAAGCTGGGTAACTTTATATATTTTTTTCACTGATCTACCTCCATGAGCTGAAGATCACTTAGTGTAAGGTAAATGATCAGTAGAGATTTTCAAATAACAAAATCAATTATTAATAGTTTTCTTTCTTTGAGTATACATTTAGACTTTTAAAAAGCAAGAAAATACATTGGTATTTTCTTTTGTTCAGGAGAATTTCATTTGTTTCGATTTTGTTATCCATTGATTAGATTAGCTGTGTTAGATTTCAATGTGGGACGCTGTAAGCATTTCCTAAATTTTAAAATGAAAGGCATGGGATTTAAATATCTGCTCCTTTTATTTAAGGAATATAAAAGGACAGGGCCAGGCATGGTGGCTCACGCCTGTGATCCTAGCACTTTGGGAGGCCGAGGTGGGTGTATCACCTGAGGTCAGGAGTTCGAGACCATCATGGTGAAACCCCATCTTAAAAAAAATTAATAATAATAAAATAAAAAAGGACAAGCCTATATCTTTCAAAACGTACTTTATATAAGTAAACAATCTAAATTAATTTTTCTCTTTATCCCTGAATACTTTTTCAAGTTATTCGTGTCTTCATTTTAAAAAATCCATTTCAGTAACATTTTAAAAAATATATATGCAACTTTATTAAAAATATCTTTGTGTTCCACTGAATAGCTTACCAAATAATACATTAGCAGTACAATTTCCTCATAATTCTTCAATTTGTATGATTAGATTGATGGATTTCCTCCTCTCAACTCGTAATTTCATTGAAGTATAATATGTCCTACTTGACCTTTGTGGGGTTTTCATACCCTGTTATTATTGAAATTGCTGTTTGATATTTGAATCAGAAGTTTATGACTATTGTTCATTAGATTGGTTTGTAGAATCCTTTTTTGCTTTAGTTCTGTTGTTTATTCGTTAGAGTAGCTTTGCTACTGTAAAACCTGAAACATTTTCATTTTTTCCTTTCTTCCATTTTTCTTTTTCTTCCTTTCCTCTTTCTCTTTCTTTCCTTCCTTCCTTTCTCTCTCTCCCTCCCTCCACTTCTGCTTCCCCTTCCCCTTCCTCTTCCCTTCCCCTTTCCTTCCCTCTCCCCTCTCTTCCCCTTCCCTCCCCCTTCTCCTCCCTTCCTTTTCCCTCCCCTTCCATCCCCCTTCCATCCCCCTTCCCTCTCACTTCCCTTGCCTTTCCCCTCCCTTCCCCTCCCTCCCCCTTCCACCTCCCTCCCCCTTCCACCTCCCTCCCCCTTCCCTTCCGCTTCCCTTCTTCCCTTCCCCTTCCTTCTTCCCTTCCCCTTCTCCTTCCCCTTCCCTTCTCCTTCCATTCCCCTTCTCCTTCCCCTTCACCTCCCTTTCCCTTCCCCTTCCCCTTCTGCTTTCTTCCTTCCTTCCTTTTTTCCTTCCTTCCCTCCCTCCTTCCTCTTTCTTTCTTTGGACAGGTTTTGCTCTATTGCCCAGGCTGGAGTAGAGTAGTGTTAACAAGACTCACTTAAAATTATTTTTAACAGAAATTTATTTATGCAAATGTCTTTTCAATGTAACCAATATATCTCTTTTAAGTGAAAAATATTTACCATCTGTTAGCCTCAACACTTTACCTTCTGCAGCCTCAATTTTTCCAGCTCTAGCAATCCTCCCATCTCAGCCTCTCAAGTAGCTGGGACTACAGGTGGTGCCACCATGCCTGGCCAATTTTTGTAATTTTTTGTAGAGATGGGGTTCACCATGTTGCCCAGGCTGGACTCGAATGCCTAGACTTAGGTGATCCTCCCACTTCAGCCTCCCAAAGTGCTGAGATTATAGGCATGAGCCACCACGCCCAGCCAAAAGGTTGAAACATCTTCTAAACTTGAAAACAAAGTACATGGCATTTAAATACATATTCCTTAACATTTGGAAGACATGTTAACACCATATAAACCCAGAGCCTGTAATTTAGATTAGTAACATGTAGATATTTTCAATTTCTTCTAAAGTTTTAAAAAAAATAAATTTTATATTCAGAGAATTCTTAACGACAGAAGGTAAATATTTTTTAACTTAAATGTGGTGACTTTGAAAAGAAATTTGGTTAATGTAAGTTAGATAAATTTCTGTTTAAAAATAATTTAAGAAAAATAATGCTGAAGGAGGAGTGGTCATAGCATTTATTCCAGAGAGAGGAATTTTGTCCTGATCTGTCTGTAATAACAAAAGTATATGGACCAAGATTATTTTATAGGGACATAGATTAAAAGATAGTTTACAATTTTATTTTTAAAAATGAAGATAACCTTTTGATACATGTATTAAATGTAAGAGAACAAACAGCATAAAAATGAACTTTTGGGGGGATATTGTGGAATACAAACAAGTACCGAGAACAGTGTGAGGAATGAAATTCTCATCCTGGCTTGATGTGGGCAGAACCTCACAGTCTGAGGACAACCCCAGTATGTGGTGGTGTTAGGGCACGGCCCCTCTGTGTAGAAACTGTTCTCATTTACTGAGACTTGAAGTCTCAGTAAAAAATAATACCAACCTCAACACAAAATGATTGGTTCATCATTTGATACACCCTGTGCCTTTATAACATGTACAGTTGTGTTGCCATTCTATAAGGCTTATCATTTGTTACATTTAAAACCAGAATAATTTCAAATTTGAAGTGAAATAAGTCCCTTAGAGAGAGAAATTTCACAATATGACCCCTATCTATCTATAATCATCTGTATCTGTGTTGAGCCATTTTTTATATGGAAAAAAGAAAAACATCCTTCTAGACCTTCTAAGTTTTATAGCGTCACACGAACATTGAGGCAATGTGATAGACAAACGTAGACGTTAATATTATTTGGAGAACAGTTTCATTTTCAGTATCAGCAAACCGTCAGGTGTTGGTGGTCTTAGGCATTATTAACCTCTAGGGTCCACATCTTTGCATGTGAAAAGTAGGTACTAGAGAAGAGCGAAGAGAGAGCACTCTCATTGTTCCCGGAGAAATGGACTAGAGAAATATAAAGTCACCTAGAGAATGATTGTGCACACAGCACTTTTCACTAGGGAAGCCATCTCATAATTCCTGTTGTATATTTTTACTACAATGTTAAGTTATTGGTTTGGGTTTAGATGTGTTCATTAAATACAGGTTAATGTTACTGCCCTATAATTTAGGATGGTACACAGAACCTGTGGGAAATTATCTATCACTCACATAACCAAGGAGTAACAGAATGGTGAGTATCTTGTACTGTGATGTGACATTGAATTGACCCATTAAGATAGCCAATGTGAGCTACCCACATGCAGCAATTGAAATTTCCAAAATAGATCATTACAATGTGCTAAGATCAGTTCATATGAAACATTCACATATATTTGACATGAACATTTTAATTTTGCATATCAGGTGCGTTTTTATTTTTAGTTTTATTTTTTGAGACAGAGTGAGACAGAGTCTCACTCTGTCACCCAGGCTAGAGTGCAGTGGCACAATCTCAGCTCAACTGCAACATTCACCTCCCAGGGTAAAGCAATTCTCTGGCCTCAGTCTCCCAGGTAGCTGGGATTACAGGCACCTGCCACCACACCCGGCTAATTTTTGTATTTTTAGTGGAGACCAGGTTTCACCATGTTGGCCAGGCTGGTCTTGAACTCCTGACTTCAGGTGGTCCTCCCGCCTTGGCTTCCCAAAGTGCTGAGAACTTATCTGTTTAAGCCCGCTGTTTGCCTTGGTGCACAGAGCGCTGCCTCTGAACTGGGGTAGCCCATTCCTAGGGAACACGGCAAGTAGCTCTTTGCACAGGAGCCGCCAGCCCTCACGGCGCAGGGAAAGAAGGCTGCTTATCTTCAGTGTGATCTGAAAAATTACAGGCCTGCGCGGTGGCTCACACCCGTAATTCCAGCACTTTGGGAGGCCAAGGCGGGTGGATCACTTGAGGTCGGGAGTTCGTGACAGGTCTGGCCAACATGGGCCTGTGTCAACTGAAAATACAAAAATTAGCTGGGCATGGTGGCGCTTGCCTACATGTAATCCCAGCTACTCAGGAGGCTGAGGTAGGAGACTCGCTTGAACCCGGGAGGCGGAGGTTGCAGCTGAACCGAGATTGCGCCACTGCACTCCAGCCTGGGCAACAAAGCGAGACCTTATTTCAGAAAAAAAAAATTACCGCTGCGTGTTTTACTTGTTTTCCACACTTGTCTCTGGCTTGATCAGGGCACATAACTACATATTTTTCTATCTGTGTATCAAAAATATGTTGGTTTTTAAAAATAAAATCATGAAGGGAGGCCCCGGCCCTAGCCAGAGGCTGCACTTGGACAGCCGAGGGACCACCGAGGCGGTGCAGGACCTGAGCCCAGAGAAAAGACCTGGAAAGGAAGCTTCTCGCAGAATGCGGCGGGAACAGCTGCAGCGAGCAGGGGTTCCAGAAAGCACTGGCCCCTGAGCCCCAGTGCAGTGGACCTGACACAGGGGTTAGCCCGGGCGGTGGGAAGAGCCTAGGAAGCACGGCCCTCCGCGCTGCCCCCCACCCCCGTCCCCTCCCCCCGCTGGGACACCTTTTCACTTCAGGAGCCTCTGGAATAGCCGGGGTGTTTGGGGTGCTGAAAACACAGGGTGCCCAGGCTCAGCCCCAGCCTTAATCGGACACAGACAATTTTGTGGTGTTTCTTTGGTCAGTTTTTTAAATTGGTCTTTTTCATATATTTTTTTTTTTAATGAAAGGGTTCCTGAGGCCGGGTGCGGTGGCTCAAGCCTGTAATCCCAGCACTTTGGGAGGCCGAGGCGGGTGGCTAACGAGGTCAAGAAATCCAGACCATCCTGGTCAACATGGTGAAACTCTACTAAAAATACAAAACATTAGCTGGGCATGGTGGCGTGTGCCTGTAATCCCAGCTACTCAGGAGGCTGAGGCGGGAGAATTGCTTGAACCCAGGAGGTGGAGGTTGCGGTGAGCCGAGATTGCGCCATCGCACTCCAGCCTGGGTAACAAGAGAGAAACTCCATCTCAAAAAAGAAAAAAAAAAAGGGGGATCCTTTGGTAGAAAGAAAATCTGAAATTCTAAATACTGTCTATTTTATCCATATACTGTTGACCCTCCCCCGAAAATATGTCCTGATTCCGGCCACTCGCCATGACCTTTTTCATCACTTCCCATCATTTCTCATCTGGATTACTGTACCAGCCTCCTCACTGACCTCCCCGCTGCCACCCTGTGGAAGCGCTGGCCCCCAGGGTCGGGGGTGACAATGACGAGGACTGGGGTGCACACGTGAGTGGGGCCGCCTGGCCAGGGAAGCCACCCACATGCACACATGTTCACCCACATGTGTGCACACACGTGCACACTGCACACACACATGTTGACACTTCAGAGTGTGGAGTACGCTGACTCTGGGCCCTGCTGGCCCAGGCAGGGGCCCATTGTGATGGGTGCCATAACCCTACAATGTCCCTGGTGCTGGGTACCCACCCGCCTACCGCCTGCCCTACTCTGTCTGGAGCTCTTTGAGACAAGACACATAGCAGTGTGTAGTTCTGCCCAGAAGAGGCTTTCCTAAGTGAGAGGTACAGCTGGATCAGCAGACTCAGGTGAGTACGACCTGCTCTGTTCCCTCCCTGCTGACTGGGTGGGTGGTGCTGGCCCCTGGGCAGGTGCTGAGGAGGGCCATCCCTGAGCACTCACCAGGTGCCCGTTCTCCACTGACAATATAGATGTTCATCTCGTTTGTCATCACAGTGACGGTGGGGGCGGGGTGGGCTTTGGGTGCTGTCCCCTAATGTGCCTATTTTACAGGTGAGATGTCTAGGGTCAGAGAAGTGGTTACTGGCCCAGGACCCGTTGGGGTGTTCTCTGGAGTGCTGGGGTGCAGTGGGACCCTCAGATGACTTTGTTTTGCATGACTCTGGGCTGTGCTCTCAGCCCTCCCCTGTGCCATGCTGGACTCAAGCCCTGACCTCTGCAGCCTCCCTGTCTTGGATCCAAAATTTCCCTGGGGTTCCAGACCCTGATGGGGCAGATTCTGGCCCTGCGGCTGGGGTGCTGGGGGTGATTCTCAGTCTAAGTCTGTGCCCTAAGCTGGATCCCCACAGGAGGTGTTCTCACCAACTCAGACTCAGATGTGGTCACTGATGGTCCCTGTAGGACCCACTGGACACATGGGGTCCTTCGTCTAGGAGTGGGGTGGGGAGCGCTCTGTCCTCAGGCAGTTGTGGAAAATGGAGCTCTGGAGAGCTGCCTGGAGGGTGACAATCGTTCCTCCTTGTCAAAGGGCTTGGGGAAGGAATGGGACCTTCCTCCAGTGACCCTTTCTCTTTCCGAACCTCCAGAGGACTTGCCCTCCCTTTGCCTCAAGTGTTTCCAGGAGGGATGGCCCCCTGGGTGTTCTCCAGGACCAAGGCCCAGAATTCTCTTGTTCTTCCTCAGTGACCCAAGAAAACGAAGCCCCCTCCTGTACTGACAGCTGGGAATTGCGGAGTCCGCCATCCCTCCACCTGAGACGGGGTCTCCACAAGCACAGAAGCTGCTTTTGACTCAATAGATCTTTTTTTCCCCAAACCAAACACCCTCCTGTTTAGCTGGCATTGTTCCTGAAGCGGTGTCACTGGCCAGAGTGAGAATTGGAGTAGAATGGAGCAGTCCCCAGATGTCTTGCTTCCTACAGAAAACTGGGCATCTTCATTATTCCCAAATGATCCCAGAGGCTGATCCTCTAGAGACATCTGGTCCCTGACCCCATCTGCCTCCAGCTGCCTGGAACAGCCATTGTAGGCCCTTCACCCTCAACAGGTGGGTGCCGTTATTCCTGCTGGGGCAGGTATGTCCATCTCGGGGCATTTGGGAACAACAGACTTCTCTGTCCAGGTCCCCCTGTACTCAAGTCCTCAGGAAGGAGCCAGGGCAGGGACTGTAGAGATGGGCAGGAGTGGGGCCACTGGGTCTGGCCCCTTGTCACCTGGAAGTGGTGGTGGAATGGGGCTCACCCATCTGGCAAGTGTTTGGGGGCCTGGTGGGAGCCATTGGGGTGTTCTCTGGAGCACTGGGTGCAGCAGAACCCTCGGATGACTCTTGCAGGATGGAGATGGATGAGGACCCAGGTATCCTGCCCACCTAGGGGCAAGGCAACATCATTGTTACTAAGTATGAGCAGGTGCAGGTCAGGCCAGTCCCTCAGGGGAGGTGGGGCCTCACCTTCCCCACTGTCCCTGGTCAGAGGGTCCTGGGCTCCCTAGGATCACAGGGTGGAGACAGGCTGTCCATGCACTCAGGACCCCAAGCCCCTCACCTTCCCCCCAGTCCCCACCCTGGCCCTTGCTGGGTCACAGGGATGCAGAGCTGGGGCAACAGTGAATGAGACATGAGCATGGTGACCTGAAAATTCACTGATCACCTCCGGATTGTGCAGAGTTCTCTGTCCCCCACACATCAGTCTCACATCAGGGAGGGTTTTGTTCTTAGAAAGGCCTCTCCGAGGTAGGGCAAGTCTCTCCAGGGTGGAAATTCCTCCCTGCCTCTCCTGCAGGTACAGCATGGGGTCAGGGTTAGGGCAGAGCTTCGAGGCCCATCTAGGGAGCTCAGGAGAGCAGGTGGGACAGAGAGGGGGCTGGGTCAGACCCCTGGGCTCTCAGCACTGAGGTCTCCACATGAGCAGGAGAGGAGGGGGCAGCCTGAGGGTCTGGCCCTGTCCCTTTGGGGTGTGCCCTTGTGAGATCTGAGGGTGGTGGCCACAGGGCTAGGGGACACCTGGCCAGGCCTGTGGACAGTTGTGTAGCAGGTCTCTGAAGGCTCAGGAAGCCCAGCTGTCATCCTGTAGGGAGGAGCAAGGGGACATCAAGGGCTGTGACCCTGGGAGGCTAGGGGAATAGAAGGGCAGGGCCCAGCTTGGGCATCTCTGGTGAGGCCAGAGGGGCAACAGAGCGTGCAGCTGAAGGCCCCAGGAGTGGTGCTGGGAAGGGCTCTGGGCCTGGGAAAGGGAGCCCAGCCTGGAGCCAACCTCTCAGGACTCATAGGATGGAGAGAGGAGGAGCCTGGGGGAGAGGGTTGGGGTGAGCCTATGAGACCTGCCACTTCTGGGACACACCTGAACCAAGCCAGCCCAGGGTGGAGCTGACAGTCTGGGGAGGACAACAGATGAGGTGAGCAGGGAACAGTGGCTCACTTGGGACCCTTCAGTCGGGGGACTCTGTCAGTCCCCAAGGCTCTGCGTGGCCCTCCAGAGACTCTGCTTCCCCAGGCTCAGTCAGCACTGCAGACGGTAGATGGAGGGGCAGAGTCAGGGGCAGGCAGGACAGTGGGGGAGGACAGCCAGGCACCCCATGTCCCGGTTTTTGCAGTGGCTGGAAGGAGGCTGAGGGCTGAAGACTGACTACCCTGAGAGCCAGCTGAGGCTGGAGACGGGGTGGTGGGGCATCCCCACTACCTGCAGGGCCCTTGGTCACCTTTGTCACCCCAGGATTTTCCACAGCAGCACTGGGCAGCCCAGTGAGAGTGGCCAAGGCAGGGGTGTGGGCAGATACTGGGGGTCTCATTCTTAGGCTGTGACAGGAAGAGGATCACAGAAGGGCCAGGGTGGCCAGAGAGGGTCACAATCTCTGGGCCAGGCACAATGGGGGAAGGCGGGAAACAGGCAGGGTCAGCAGCCAGGGTGCAGGCAGAGGCAGGTGCATGCTGGGAGGTCAGACCCTGCAAGGCCCGTCTGGGGCGCCGGGTGGGATGGGCTGCAGATGCGTCCTCAGGGCCCTGGGCAGCTCTCAGGCCAGGCTCCCTGGACTCTGGTGGGTGATGTGGTCACTCCCGAGGCACTGCTGTCAGTCAGGGTTCAGCCACCACCCTGGGCAGCACTCATCCCGTCTCAGGACTGTACTTGCTCAGCTCCCACAGAGGGTGTTGCCCAAGACAGGCAGCCCCATTGTGCAGCCCAAGGCACCCCACAGGCCCCAAATGGCCCCCACCAGGCCAGCCTCGAGCTCCCTCTCCTCCAGGCTCCCAGTGCCTTGTGGGCAGTCGGCTCCATAGGGAGGCTCTTGCCTTCCTTCCCTGTGCCTTCTTCCTGGCTGAGACTTTTGGTGGATAGGGATAGGGCTAGTCCTTCCCTGGGGTCCTCTCTGGGAGGGGATGGATCCTGGCCTGGGCAGGCTCTCAGCTCTGCCTGGGTTGCCTTACAGTGAGATGGAGCTGCCCCCCCATCAGCGTCCTGGAGGTAAAGCTAAGAGCCTGGGCCTGCTGTGTGGGAGGCTGGTCCAGGGACAGGGAATCGGGTGGTCACTGAGGCAGTGGGAGTGGCCCAACGGCCAGGGTGGTGGTGAGTGGGCCACGGCTGTCACTGGGAAGGGCAGCCATTCCTGCTGGACCCTGTCCCCTGAGGGTTTCACCAAAACCCAAGAACTGCTGGCCCAGAGGTCACTGCCTGTTTGCACCAAGTCCCAAGCTAGAGCCTGGGACTGACCTAAACTCAGGGCTTCTGTGGTCTGAAGATGGTGTGTCCTGGCATCACCAGTCCAGACTGCCAGCTCCAGTTAGTTCAGAGGGTCTCAGCCCCTGGGGTCTGCCCTTTCCTGGCTCCTTCCGGTTGGGTCCCTTCAGGGCCCTGAAGCCCAGGACCCAGCATCCACGGGGCCACTACCAGAAGCCTGACAGCTCCGCTAACTCCATCATGGCCCATTTCACAGCAAAGACATCAGGAAATAACAACACAAATTAATAAGTGGCTGAAGATACTGAGACTGACCAAAATACAGGAACAGCGAGAAGGTACCATGGGGAGGGAGTGGCCCCCGTGACTGCTCTCTGCAGAGCCAGGAGACAGGCACCCATGGCTGTGACCTGGCTGACCTGGCACCACCTGCCTCTCAGTGGGTGGGTGGCACCCATCCTCACCATAAACAGCAGCCCTGTTCGCCAGCTTTCCTCACTGGCCACCTGTGTCCTGTCTCACTGGAGCGTTCTTTCGTCTGTAACTCTCCCAAACAGTATACAAAGGCATTCCCCTGGCCGCTCAGGACTGGGCGTGGTCACTCCTGCTAGACATTGAGGAAGTCAAGGCTGAGAAACCAGGGAAATACAAGGTACAGCCCTCCCCTCCCATATTCAGCCAAGGCAGGACAAACAGGCCAGGCTGGATCAGGAGCCCAGGACTCCAGCTGGAGGGAACCTGGAGTCTGGGTTGGGGGTGAGGGTTGTGGTCAGATGCACATCCGGACACACAGATGCACATCCGGGTGACACAGGCACCACAGGTACGCTGGGATCTGCTGACACTCCCTGGCTTCAGAAATGAGGCAAAAAGCAGCTTTCTGCAGGAGGAAACCTTCCTCTCTTCCTTCCAGAAGGTACAGTTCTGTCAAGGTGTGAAAGCGGAGTGTTCAGTATTGCACCTCATCTCTGTCACAAAATGTTCCTATTCCTGTCCTGGAAAGATGGAGCTTTGCTGTTTAAGTTCTTAGGACCCAGGCAGATGAAACTTTTCCAAAGGGCACACAACAGTGGTTCTCTTTAACGTGGAGACAGCACTCAGCCTGAAACCCTGGGCATTCTCTGGTGTTCTTGGTGTTTCCAAGTGAAGTCAAATAACTTCCCACAAAGGTTTGCCACAGAGGCCTCCAAAACTGGAGGGGAAGAACTATTTAGAACCCAGAGGCTTCAGAATCAAAGATGAGGCCAAGCAGCAGAGTCCTGACCAGCTGAGGGCAGAGGAAGCATGTGGGGACAGCTGGGAGAGGACGTCATAGAGGCCCACCATGGCCTTGGGATCTGTCACAGAACCATGCACTTGGATGGCTGTGCACATCTCCTCTCCACTGATTGATTATAGTATATCTTTTCATCTGCTACTCTCCAATCATGCAGGGAGTTTGCTACAAAACACACGTAACCACAGGCCAGGTCGTCCAAGCCAACCTGGCAGATTCAGCATGTCAAGGGCTTCAGGTGACTTTCATGCATACCCAAGTCTGAAGGTCCATGGCTGTCCTGAATCCTGGTGTCACCTTCCTGCCCCCAAAGCTCAACCAGCAGCAAGCCAGCCACAGAAAGGGACAAAACATGAGTGTGTGGCCTTCCTGACACCCAGACAAGACTTCGGGCACAAAGCCAGGCCACAGCTCTGGCCCGACTCGGACCAGGGACGCCCCCCATGCAGGCTGGTCTGCCCTGGCTGTTCTCCCTCCTGCCACCTTCTGTTTGACTGCTTGTGTCAATAAAAGGAAAATCAGCCAGTTTTCAGAAAAAAAAAAATGTAGCTTTATTATGACATAGGAGAGACTACAAAGCATTAGGGGAGGAGAAGGAATTACACAGGGCCTCAAAATGAGAGGGGAAAAGAAAGGTTAACATCTTGGTAAATAAAGTCTCCAACCACAGCACAGTCATTGGAATTTTTTTCTTAATTTTTATTTTCAAATTTACAGTAAACAAGTCACTTAAATTGTCAAAAGAACAGCAATTTTACACAACGAAAAGCACACACACCAAGGCAAAATACAACAGCACTCGGGTCTATAGGTTGCAGTGGTGCTGGTGCCGGAGGGGATGTCCAGGGAGGTTCCAGAGCCCACCAGGGAGCCCAGGTCCACAGAGGGCCCCGGGGCTGGAGGGAGGCTGACCACACTCCCAGCCCATCACCTGCCTCAAAGCACTTCCTTCAGGCATCTGAAGAGGGAAAGCCCATTTGTCTTCCTGTGAAGCACTGGAAAGACAGCCAGCATCTCCAAAATGCAGGCTATTTTAAATACACTGGTGTGAATTTTTTTGGGGGGGTCACCAGGGGGTCCCTTAGGGGTCAGATCCACTTTGTCACAATTTACACCTACATGGGGTGATTACTAGGCAATGGGAGAACAGGTTTCCTGAATTTCATAGCCAGATCAGAAGCTAAAAGGAGAGATTCTTGAACCCAACTTGCAACTATTTTGTTCTGACAAAGTAAATTCACAAGAGCACATCAAACACAAGACCTAATGCAAGTGGCAGTGCCCAGGGCTGCTGCCTGCCTCTGGTGAGCAGCTCTTCCGCAGCAGGTGTGGGATAATTGCTTAGAACAGTAAGGCCACAGTGAATAGGGGATAACTTGGACACAAAAGTTTAGAATAATGCCCGCAAAGAATGCAGGTGACCAGCTCTCTTCCCAGATCTAATGTTCTCAGAAGAACAGCAAGTACAGACAGAAGAGAGGGGCGGAAGGGGAGGAAGAGCCTGGCCAACCACAGGCAGCTGCCAGAAAGGCCCAAGGCCCATGCTGCTGCCTTCCGTACTCTGCAAGCTGCCACCATAAACCAGGGTGTCCCCAGGTGGCAAGCCTTCAGGAAGGCACTGCCCGGCATACAATCCTGTGGGCCAACGTCAGTCAACTCTCCTTTCCGTTAGATGTTCCTGATTAAAAGCTCATCCTCAAAGGAGATCATCAAAGCACTGCCCCCCAAATAACTTGGTCACGTGGGGCCATTTTTAAAAATCTCGACCCATCTGTTTCTCTGATAATTCATTTTACAAAACATGCTTCCACGTGAATAAATGCAGAACGACAACAGAAAATGAACTTGAGCACATGTGTGAGAAACTGAATCCCCAAGGCTTCTGCCATACATGATGGAAACTGCATCCCCAAGACTTTTGCTGCACGATGGTTCTGTGGGGTGTGATCGCCAAGTCCTACATTCTCATGTTTTCTACACTGAGCAGTGAGTAGCTACTCAGCTGCCACTGTCACTGCCCCTCCCCACCCAACCGGCTAAGGAACTGGGTCTGGTCGCCACCAGCTTCTCCATGGCCTGTGAGCTAAGAATAGTTTTCACATTTTTAAGCAGTTAAAAAGAAAATCTAAGTTTCTTGACATGGAACATTATATGCAATTCAGATTTCTGTGTCTACAAGTTGTATGGTCACAGCCACACTTCTATGTATTTATGGCGGAGATCGTACAGCCCACAGGGCCAGAGGACTCACTACCTGGCTATGAAAACATCTGCCCACCCCAGACAGAGGATCCTACCCTCTGCAGGACTGAAGAGCCCTTGGTTCAGATGCAGCTGGGGTTCCTGGAAAAGCAGTTTGAGCTGTGGTTACTTCAAAAACCATATTTAAGTATTTTTCCTCCCCCTTGTTCCTAGTTTGTAATTTCTCAGTGGACAAATGGACAAAGCAACTGTTTCCATTTGAATACACAGATACATGCAAGATATCTTACAAGGAAAAATGCACATCCTCCTACTCCCTCCCTTGGCTCTGCAGACGGGCTCAATCACGATGTCATTTTATCCCCACCACACCCAAAAGTACACCAAACGGAAAGCAGAGGCTGATGAGACAAGACAAAGGCCCCATGAGAAAGCACTCCAGCTTCGCAAGCAACATGCTTAGCTGCCAGGTGGCGGGAGCCAGGCCACGGGACAGAGGAAGCAAGCACAAGGGAGGGAACCGATCAGACACTGGCAGAGGCTGGATTGACTCCAGATTGAGATGACAGAGACACAGTGTGAGCTGCAGCACGACTCTCCAACACTGAGCCCACTGCTGGCCACCCACAGACACCACAGCGTCCAGAGGAGCCAGGCACACAGGGAGGGCAACAACATAAACAGCACCGATTAAAAAGCAAGACTTGCTCTCAAGACCAAAGGAGAAGTTACCTAGACTTCCGTATAAACTCAGCAATTCATTCACTTTACTAGTATTACATTTATGAAATTCACCTTTGTGGAAAAACGGAAGGGAGAAGGATAAGAAAACGCCTGTTTCTAGAAAACTGAAAGATGCTTCCTCGAGCAGTTTGTTGCTAAGTTACCTACGGAACAGACACGCTTGAAAACTCAACATAGTGTCCTTCATTCCGAAGCTCTGAGGGCTGCTTCACAGCGCTGAGAAAAATGGAAGTGAGGAGTTCCACACTCTCCGTATCTTAACACCAAAACACGAACAGAAAGGCATCTGCAAGGCCCTCTGGCCCATACACTACACCTGTGTCTTCAGCTTACTGCTTTAACGGACCCATAATCTTACAGCGGGCAGGGGCCCTTCCACAATGAGTGCTAAGCAGCACTAGGCGGCAGTCACTCAGTGCTGTGAGGCCCCCGTTGGACCCCCATATTATGAGCACAGGATATCATGACGGGTGCACGCTGCTCCTCCCACCCAGAGCACACCCGTCATCTCATCCATCTTCAATGTACCTCAGGGAGCCTCCCCGTCCATGTGGTCCATCTCGAACCCAGGGGTCCAAGGTGCAGAGGGGCCACCACTGCATAGGAGGTGGTATCACCAGGCCAGGGAGGCAGGGGGTGGGGGTGGGGGGCAGGGAGGATCACTTCGTGAGGCTTGCCAATTCGTTGCCTTTGTTTTTCTGACCAGCTGCAGATAAGGCTACTCGTATTCCAGGAACTGTTTGTGATAGAACAGCAAGTAACTGTGGAGGAAGAGAGAGGGAGGATGCTCACATCTAACTCCTCAGACAGGAAGCCAGAACGAACCGCCCTACACGTGCGCACACATGTTCTGCACAGCTCTTCAAGGCCTGATTACATGGGTTTGGCTTTTCAGCCCCAAGGAGAAAAGAGGGCTTTGGTGGCTGATGGCACTGACCCTGCCCATCACCGCAGCCTGACCACCACTCCCACCTGCCATGAGGTCACCCACTGCCTTACCCAATCTCCCACAGACTCTCCCACACTCGTGACAGTCCCACCCTTGTGCGGAGCCCACCACTTTTAAGTGGGTCCAGCCCAGATACATCGCATTGCCCTGAAGGCTGTCCTTCATCCCACAGATTCTTCCAAATAAAACCTCTCAAGAGGGCTTCTGTCTGGCTCAGAATGTAAAGTGCAAAGCCCTCAAGGAGTTGATGGCAGCTGGGGTCCCCTTGACCCCTGGAGGGTCAACAGGTTTCTATGCCATGAAGGAATGAAACTGGCAAGGAGAGGAAATGATAAAGAACTTATGTGGGCCAGGTGTGGTGGCTCACACCTGTAATCCCAGCACTTTGGGAGGCCAAGGCAGTGAACTGCCTGAGGTCAGGAGTTTGAGATCAGCCTGGCCAACAAGGCCCATCTCTACTAAAATACAAAATTAGCCAGGAATGGTGGCACATGCCTGTAATCCCAGCTACTTGGGACACTGAGGCAGGAGAATCGCTTGAGCCCGGGAGGCGGAGGTTGCAGTGAGCCGAGATCGCGCCACTGTACTCTAGCCTGGGCAACAAAAGCGAAACTGCATCTCAAAAAAAAAAAAAAAAAAAAAGAACTGATGTGTTCAGTTCACACAGTTAAAAAACAACTGCCCTCGAGTTCTCTGTGCTAAGGGAACGCCCCTAGAGAGGGCCTTTGCTCAGGTACCTCTTCTCCCACGTGAGTGAGCGCCCATTGAGGCTAGCATCCTATTCAGAACAGGTCTCATTACTTCAGCAAATGAAGATCACGTTCAGACTGGTACTAGGCTCAGATGTGAGCTGGTCTCAGCTATACCAAAGCAGAAGCAGCGCGGCCACCGCAGGGCCTTCCTCCCACCCCACGGGACGCACCCTTCGCTGTCCAGCACGTCCTTGATGCTGGCCTTGGTGATGATGGCATCGTCACACTTGAACCACTGGTCTTTGTGCTGCCGAATAAAGCTGGTGTAGTGGCCGCTCTCCAAGGTCCCTTGATGGTTAACAACAGCAAACAGGGAATACCTAGTGTAGGAGGAAAGGAGAGGGGGGGTGCAGCTGACTCCACGCCATCACTCAAGGTCATCACCATCAGAAGCCAGGCCACCCGGGCAGGGAGCAGGAGGCCTGTGAACCTGGCTATCACCCCCCTGGGCCTCAAGCTGAGGCTGCAGGGACTAAGGGAGCCTGGTCATGCCCCTTGGCTCTAGCCCAGGTCCAGCCGCTTCCTGGACCCGCATCTAGCAGGCGTGGCGACTCAGTCCGCAGTGGGGACGCTGGAACATCCTACTAGCCTTTCATTCTTTCTACAACCTCAAGGCTAGAAGAATGGACACCGAGCTTTCCAGATGGAACCTTCCTCCAGCCAGAGGCCAGGAGTGGAGCTGGACTCCTCCAACAGGAGGGAGCATTTGTGGCACCGCATAAAATGGCCTTTCCTAGTGGGGCTGTGGGCAGCCAGGCAGGAAGCAGGTGGGTGGCAGAAGATCTGCTGGATGCCCTACAAGCAGACAGGAGCCCACCCCAGCTCTTGGCCAGAGGCCCTGGACACCCACACCACTGAGCACCACTTACTTGTTGTCGTTGTTGAGACTGTCTGTGGGCTGCTGGTACTGTCCGTTCATCCTACTCTCTTTGCTGTAACAAACAACGGCAGGATTCAGCATCATTAAAATCATCAGGCCCAGAGACACAAGGCTCTCATGAAACCAACACTTATCCAGGTCTGACTGTGCAGACGCAACGCTGGGGTGCACTTCATGCTTCGTGGAGAAATCTCCCCACATTTCGTGAGGACACTGACACTTGAGTTGTCAAGTCCCCTGCCTGAGAGCACACCCGGGTCCTGGGGCCATCTGGCCTGACCCCTGATTCTTCCAAGGTGGGTCCTGAATGGGCCTGGTGATGGGAGCTGGATCTGGATGAATGTGAATTTGGTTTGTGACACAGCAGGTGGTGAAGCTCTTCCTCCCACACATAAAGGGTTAGCTTGAAAAGCTGAATCCATTCCACAACCTAGGCAGCTGCCTCCTCAAAAGGGACAAAGACTGCCGCTCATTATTTCAAGACCGGCACCTCTCCTGGCGAGACGGGGGAGGGGCGGCTGGAAACAGGAAGCATGCGCACTATTTACTGCATTTTCCCACAGTGTGTTTGGCAGGAAACACCCAAGATCTCTGAGACTCTGACCTCAGCAACAGCACTGCCACGCCCTCAGTACGTGACCATCGTGGTCAGACTGATAATATGGAGCTCTGACTCTGGTGGTCTTGTTTTATTTGGGAGATCATCTGTGTGCCACAGGGGTGGAACAGCAAAGAGGAAGGACACCAGGGGCCAGGCAGAGTGGTTCACGCCTGTAATCCCAGCACTTTGGGAGGCCAAGGCAGGAGGATCACGAGATGAGGAGTTCAAGACCAGCCTGGCCAATATGATGAAACCCCGTCTCTACTAAAAAATAACAAAAATTAGCTGAGCGTGGTGGGGCGCACCTGCAACCCCCATTGTTTGGGAGTCTGAGGCAGGAAAATTGCTTGAACCAGCGAGGCAGAGGTTGCAGTGAGCCGAGATTGTGCCACTGCACTCCAGCCTGGGTGACAGAGTGCGACTCTGTCTCAAAGAAAAAAAAAAAAACCCCACCAAAAAAACACCAGGAACAGGCCGATTACCAAAAGGCAACATGCTTTCCAAGGTGCTGGGGCTGGGGCTGGGGCTGTGGCGGCCAAAAAAATAACACCCTGCAAATAACGACATCCAAGTCTCAACCCTCAGAACCTGATTCTGGAACCTCATCTGTGAAACCAGTCTTTGCAGAGACTCAAAGCAAGGATGTCGAGATGACATCCTCCTGGATTTGCCTGAGCCCTAAATCCAACAACCTGTCATGACGGAGAAGCACAGGGAGACTGGCCAGACTCAGGGGAACCAGCCCTGTGACCAGGAAGCCATGAGAGTGGCGCGGCCACAGAGGGAACATGTGGAAGCACCGGCAGCTGGAGGCGGTGAGGAGTGAAATCCCCCAGACCCAAGTAGGAATGTGAGGCCCTGCCCACCTTGATTTCAGATTTCCCACCTCTAGAACTGTGAGGAAATTAATTTTAATCCACCAAGTTTTCGGTCATTTGTCACTGAGCCATGAGAAACTCCTATGTGTCTCATGCATTGAACAGCATGGTATTCTGGAGGGTTAAATTCAAAGTGCCCCATAATATGCAGATTTGAAAAGGAAAATGCAGTCTACAACTGCAAAACCAACTGTGCCTGTCTGTACTTCAACCTCTGTTTCAGGAAGTAAAGCGTTACCTTCTCACTATGATCCACCTTGAGGAATCTGCCAGTTTGAAAGTGGTTTGAGAATTGTCAGAGAAACATTCAAAGCAAAAACAGGGTATCTGACAAAGAACAACTCATTAATGTGTACCATATCTTAAGATTAGGATAAATAGGTTTTGGGAGGGTGGGGTTTCTATTAATATAAACAATCATCTTTTCTTTTCCCCCAGAGCCGGAGTCTCGCTCTGTCAACAGGTTGGAGTGCAGTGGTGCGATCTTGACTCACTGCAACCTCCGCCTCCCAGGTTCTAGCTGGGACCACAGGCGCACGCCACCACGCCCAGCTAATTTTTGTATTTTTAGTAGAGACGGGGTTTCACCATGTTGGCCCAGATGGTCTCGATCTCTTGATCTCGTGATCCACCTGCCTCGGCCTCCCAAAGTGCTGGGATTCCAGGCGTGAGCCACCTCGCCCGGCCAACAGGCATCTGACAGCAGTTCCAAGCAGGATTCCTGTCCTGATAGGATGACAGACCCTCCGGACACAGAATGGGCCAACACCCCCACCTACCTGGAGGCCATGAAAGGGGTCATGTCCAGCTCTAGGGGGAAGGAGACATACGTGGTGATCTTCCTCCGCAGCTTGGCTGAATGTTCAAATCGCTGCAGAAATAGGAAAGGGGCAGAGGGAAGAGGAAAGACGACCAGAAACATTACTGGAAGCTTCAGGGGCTTCTTGTGATGACAGGTGTCTGTGTTATCGCTTTGTATTTTATTGAATTGCCTTATGGCTACATCTAGAATTAGATTAAAAAACAATAGTAATCCATACAAGACTTCATTTACAGAGTTCAAGTGAAGCCTTCAAATGATCGGCTTGTTCAGTACCCAGAGTACAAAAAATAATCTCGCAGCAAATCCAGCAGAGCACAGAAAACAAAACAAAGATCCACGACCCATGGCAGCAAAAACAAACCAACTGTTCCCTTCACCGAACAGACAGTCCTCTGCCTAGATCAGGAGTTACCCATTCTAGCCAACAAGCTAGGAATGGGTGCCTTCCATGTTTAAAGGGTATAAAATGAAACAAAGAGCATGCAACAGAGAATCGTATGCTCGCACGCAGCCTGTGCAGCCTGACAGCTTCACTATCTGGGCCTTTAGACAAACAGCTGGCCAACTCCTGGAGCAGATCTGAATTCTGAGGGCCTTTGTCTTCAAATAAAAGAACAACAGAAAACCTGAGGAGGGAGGAGCTAGAGGAATTTGGGTGGAAAAACTTCACAAGGCTCTGCTCCCCAAGAAAAGTTAACTCACATCCTACTTTCATTGTGAAGCCACTGATTCTGTTTACCGCAGCACAGACAAAAGGACAATTCCCAGACAGAAGGACAATTCACGAGCGTCCTCCATTCCTCAGTGTTCTTGCTGGCTTGCTGCAATAAAACATGTAACTGCACAGCAAACCAAAAGGCTGAGGGCCGCACTGTGGATTGGAAATTGAGCCTGCCACTCGAGTTGGCTTTCTGGAAAACTCACTTTGAGATGAAAACAGGCTACAATGGGCAGTTTCTTCATGGTGAGCTGCTTCGTGGACTCCTGGTAGCTGTGGCACCCACTACACTTGATCTTGGCACTGCTGCCCAAGTGCTCTGGTCTGGTGAATCTGCAGATTCAAAAGAGTTGGTAGCTTAGGTAAGGGAAATGTAAGAGACAGAAAAGAGGAAAAGGTATTTTATCTCTTTCAACGGGTTGATTTCCCAACCAAAAGCATATACAATACAACTAAAAATGAAACAATGAAAAAGAGAGACAATGTTGTCCACCTTTCCTGCCTATCTCTCTTTAAAGAATATTTATCCTAAATATTGTGTTCCCAGGAAAGGCCTGGGGAAATGGTAATAATTTTCTAACTACTGTATGATCCAGCAGTTGAATTTGAGCCAGAAAAATGAAAACTAATGTTCACACAAAAACTGTCCACGAATGTCTACCAGAATGTTACTCATCAGAATCACAAAACTGGAAACAACCCCTTTCTTCCCATGGGTGAATAATTAAAGAAACCGTGGAAGGCTGTACCGTGCGTGGAATAGGAGTCAGCAGCAAAAAAGGAAAGAACCACTGATCCCAAGCTGCACCCTGGATGCATCCCCAGAAAATCATGATGCCCGAGAAAAGTCCATCTCAAAGGGTTCCCTGTTGCATGATTCGGCTGACGTGACAGTCTGGAATTGTAAGGCATATGCAAATGGAGGAGTCCTGGGTGACTGGGGTTACAAATGGGGTGATAAGGGAGGAGGTCATGCCGGGTACTTTCTGCATCATAAACATCTGAATCACGGCAAGGGCATTGCACCACAGTACTAAAGAGTTCACCATCAGGGGACCTGGGTAGAGGGTAGCTAATGGCTTCTTACTGCATGTGAATCTACAATGATCTCAATGTAAGCAGTTTAACGTAGACAGTTCTGGGAAAGGTAATTTCCCGACAGTGCAGAGGCAGAAAGTAGGAGGGCTATGTCAGAAGTGTGTCTGGCAGAGGTGGCACCTGCCACCAACAAAACCTGCAGAACAGACGATTCAACAAAGCACAGGCCAAATTTTAAAACTGAAACACTAGCAAAAAAAAAATCCATCTTTTCACAACCAGGCATGGAAAGCCCTCATTGATGCTCTGGAAATTCTGCCATCTCACCTAGGGCAAGATGAGGGGGCCTCTGGGCAAAGCTGCACCTGTTTCATTGGTAGCTTTGTGATCTGCTCTCCAAAGGACTCGACAAGGAGCTTTTGCTTGCAATGCAAGTGTGGAAGGGTGCACTCCACCTCTCCCCTTCCCCGAGCCAGACCTGAGCTGTGTATCCGCTACCAAACACAGGCTTCCTACACACTGCAGTTTGTGAAGTGTAGTTTCTTCCTCATGGCCTGCTGTTTTGGCAAAGCTTTCATTTTATTGTAATTTATGATTAAATTTAATTTAGTTGCAAAGACTTTCTTAAAAAAGGTTTTGGTTTCCATTGTTTATTTGCTAGTTTTCCAAATTAAAAAATGTGATACCCTATTTTATTATGTGGACTTACAAGTGTAACAAAGCTGATGCTTTCAAAATTCTCAACATGCAAACTTTCAGCAGGGCACAGTGGCTCATGTCTATAATACCAGCATTTTGGGAGGCTAAGGTGGGAGGACCACTTGAGCTCAGGAGTTCAAGACCAGCCTGAGCGACATGACAAGACTCTGTCTCTACAAAAAAAGAAAAACGACCAGGTATGGTGGCTCATGCTTGTAATCCCAGTACTTTGGGAGACTGAGGCAGGTGGATCACCTGAGGTCAGGAGTTCGAGACCATCCTGGCCAACATGGTGAAACTGATCTCTACTAAAAATACAAAAATTAGCCAGACATGGTAGCGGGCATCTGCAATCCCAGCTAGTCAGGAGGCTGACGCAGGAGAACTGCTTGAACCCAGGAGGTGGAGGTTGCAGTGAGCTGAGATCGTGCCACTGCACTCCAGCCTGGGTGACACAGCAAGACTCACTCTCAAAGAAAAAAAAAAAGAAACCACAAAATCTGGGCATGGTAGCATGCACCTGTAGTCCCAACTACTCCGGAGGCCAAGGCAGGAGACCAAGGCTGAGCCGCGATGGAGGCTGCAGTGAGCTATGATGGCACCACTGCACTCCAGGCTGCAGGACAGAGCAAGACTCTATCTCAAAAAATAAACATGCAACTTTGGTCCTGCTATGCAGCCAGACAGAAAGCAAAAGATTGTACCCCCTCTAAGGAATACATCCACTCAACAAGGATTCTTCTGCGTTACCTTTAACTGATGCAAATACAACAAAGAAAACACTTGACAAAATTCAGAAAGGTTTTCTGCTGTCTTTACAATTGTATGCTACAGCTATTTACTACATTAAAAAAAACACTCAGGTGTGGTGGCTCACACCTGTGAGCACTTTGGGAGACCAAGGTTGGGGGGAACGGGGAATCACCTGAGATCACGAGTTTAAGATCAGCTTGGCCAACATGGTGAAACCCCGGCTCTACTAAAAATACAAAAATTAGCCAGGCATGGTGGCACATGCCGGCAGTCCCAGCTACTCGGGAGGCTCAGGCAGGAGAATCGCCTGAACCCGGGAGGCAGAAGTTGCAGTGAGCTGAAATCACACCACTGCACTCCAGCCTGGGCAACAGAGCAAATCTATGTCTCAGAAAAAAAAAAAAATCACTTTGTAAATTTTATTACTTATCCCAAATGAAGCAGTGAATGCACAATTTCAAAAATGGCCCTAAGTGCAGAACATCACAACTAAGTTTTAATCACATGCAGAGAAGGCTATGGGCCACAGGGAGAGGGCCAGGCTCTTCTCAGCTCACACACTCCGGGGTAGGTGATTACCACAAAGGCTAAGGGAGCATCCAGTTTGGCTCTGGATTCATTTATAAGAGGAGGTTGGAACAGCGGCTGCTGACGCCAATGCCCAACATCGTGCAAAGCTGGGTGACAGAAATATCCAGTCATTCAGCCGAAACAAAAGACAAACCAGGACCAGAGACCACAGCCAGCCCAGGCTCATGCCACATCTTCGCTCAGGCTCTGTCCTGGGTGTGAGAAAGAGTCCTGCTCTGGGCTGATGGAACACAGCCTCCCTGCCAGGAAGACGCCCCTGCCACGTGGGTGCTGAAGGGTTCTCACCGTCGCAGGCAGTCCGTGAGTGTAGTGGTTCCCGCCATGTGGCTTTCCCCGTTTACCACGTTGCCCTCGCTCCCTGGGCTCAGGGGCCAGAATGGGGTGGAAGAGCCGGGGAGATCCAAGCTGATGTCCCAGAAGGGGTCTATGGTGGTGGAGACTCCACTGGAAGCAGAGGGAAAACAATAGCTGTGAGGATTGACACCCGCCCAGCTCCAAAGGCAGCCCAGGGTGGAGGCCGCCCCTTCCCCTTCCCCACTGTGCCCTTTGCCACAGTGACACTCAGGTGGGATGGGGCAGGAGCGAGAGCAGCACTGCTCACACCCAACGTGTCCTGGCTCCCAAGGTGGCCCTGGGGAGGGGTGTGTGTGAACCCAAAGGCAAGGGGCACTCCTCAAAAAAGGGCTATCCAGCCTGGAGACCATCACAGTCACTGAGGGACTTGGGAGGACAAACTCAGGCCCAGTCAGAGGCTCTGAATCCATCTGTATCTAGAACTTGGGGCCTGCAACCCTAGGCAACACAGGAGGCCTCCATGCACACCTCGGAGCGTGCCTGAGCCAGCCCCGGCAGCCCCACCCTGGACACTCAATGCTGCATCTCACAAAGAGTTCCTCACTAGAAATTTATTTAGCAATATAAAAGACGAAAAATTGCAGACTGGGAAACATACTCTTGATATTTATACAGGATTTAAATCTGAGACAGTCTCCTGCTAACGGAATTCAGTAGCTAAGGCCCAGTGAGGAGGTCCAAATTGCTCAGAGCAAACTCAGTTTCTAATGCTCAGAGCCAAGGCCCCTTACAGAAAATGGCACCCGTGACACAGGCAGCACTGACCTTTCCCAGTATTCACTGGCCTTATGCAGATTACAAGTGGTAATCCATTTCGGGTTCTGAAATAATTTCGATGGATCACGTCCAGGGCTTTTAAAACTTAAACTGGAGTAAAGAACAGAGCCAGGCACAGTGGCCTACGCTTGTTGTTCCAGCTACCTGGGAAGCTGGGGACGGAGGACTGCTTGAGACCATGGGTTCAAGGCCAGCCCTGGCAACATAACAAGACCCCATGCCTGAAAAAAAAAACTGCAACAAAAACCAGCAGCATGCACTGAGGTGGATGAGAAGGTCCCTCTGACCTAACAAAGCAGTGGGTTCCCCCTGCAGTCAACACCTGGGGATCTAAGCAGAGACCACACCTGAGAAGAATTAGGGCCAGTACATCAGAGAAAACAGAACCAGAAACCGTAAAACAATGAAACTAACACACTTCAAAGCACGTATGTAAACAATGTGCCCTCATGATCTGCCCCTTCTTGAAAGGGACTATTTTATTTGGTCCTTGCTCAAGGACTGGAAGACTGTAAGCTTCCCCCACCATTTCTCCAAGCTTCCAAGAACACACTGCTGGCTGCAGACAATGGCCAAGACCTCAACACAAAGGGTTCACATCCCAAAGGACACATGTCCCAGGACCTCCCCAAGAGGAGGCAGCCCCACCACATGACCTTTGTTCTCAGGGCGTCTGTTAATCATTTCTCTTGTAGCGTCCTTAAAGACCTCTCAGAGCACACACGGCTCTGGAGACTGAGGATACCAGCACTGCCCCAGAGGCTTCTGACATTGCCGAGCACACAGCCTCTCACTTACTGGCAGACTTGGCAGGTGACGTCTGACTGCAGCCCGCCGGTGAAGATCTGGTCTATGATACAGTTGCAGTGGTTGGGATTGTTGGCCTTCTTCCCGTTGTCATCACCTGGGGACAGACCACGGCTCTGGGATTAGTGTCTGTGCACCCCAAAGATGGGGAGTCTCTAAGGGAAGAACAGTTCACCCTGCAGAGGCCTGGGGAAGCCAGGGCCGACGCTTTAAAAGGCCACCTGAACGTCTCATTTTTGGGACAGAATGTTAGCGCACCAGAATATCCATGCAGGAAGATGCAAAGAAAGAAGAACAGAGACATGCCGTGGAGGCCACAAGGACAAACAGCTGCACGTGACCAAGGGCACGTGGCCAGGTCGCCTTGCTAAACGGCTCGGACAAGCAGGTTTCTGAACAGAAGAACCTTATACTTCTTCTCAGACATTTCCAAAGGAATCCTATCAGAAGCACATCAGTGGCTTTGTCACATTTTGGTCATATGAACGTTTTAACAGCAATGTATTTTTGAACAAGTGATTTTTAGAACATCATTCTGCTGCTTGCAGAAAGCTCTTATTCTGACCAGCTATTTTGGACTAATAATGTAGTCCACTTCCATAGAGGTTCTTTTCTCTCTTATAAATTATATGGCCAGCGCAGTGGTTCACTTTGGGAGGCTGAAGCGCAGGTGGATCACCTGAGGTCAGGAGTTCAAGAGCAGCCTGGCCAATGTGGTGAAATATCCTCTTAAAAATACAGAACTTAGCCAGGTATAGTGGTCGGCGCCTGTAATCCCAGCTACTAGGGAGGCTAACGCAGGAGAATTTCTTGAACCCGGGAGGCAGAGGTTGCAGTGAGCCAAGATTGCGCCACTGCACTCTAGCCTGGGCAACAAGAGCAAAACTCCATCCCAAAAATATCGTAACATAAATAAAATAAATCATACTAGGAAGCAAAACTCTACCTAAGCTACTAAGTAACTTTGATTTCTAGGGTAAGAATTAGAAGGATCATGAAGTTCTTCAGTAGGAAAAAAATCAAGTACCAAAAAAAATCCAAAGTCACATTTGACAAAAACCAGTCATTTTAGCTCAACTGTGGGGTGTTTCTGGGCTGCACTCTCAGAGCCCATAGTGTGTGTGTAAATGCCCAGCTGCACAGCCCTGAGACTGATGAGAAGCACTGGGGAAGCCAGCCCATCAGGCTGTTAACCAGTGAACCACCAAAACAGGACTCTGTTCTCTAAAAGTTTACAAGTGAAAATTCGCCAGTGGGATATCACCTACGACTAGCCAGCCCAGAGGCCACAGGTAACCCAGAAGCAGCCAGGTGCCCTGTTACCTGAGCTCATGGGTTCTCAGAGTGTGGCATCTGAACCAGTGCCATCAGCTGGGAACTGATTAGAAGTGAAGAAGCCCCTGCCCCTCCCTGCAGACCTACTGAATCAGAAATGCCAGCACAGGCTTTAGGAAACTGCAGGTGACCAGCCCACACTCATTTAAGAGTCTCTCTGCCTGTGTGGACAGACTTCAGCTACAGGGGAGGAGCTGACCCTGGCTTAAGCCATTCAGTCCTAGCCTCCCATCTCCAGCTGTAAGACTGTCCCCACCAACTATCAACACTACACACCTCTGAGAACCTCGGGAGGGCACCATCCTGGGGCCAGGCTGTGGGAGATACCCAGGTCCGGTGAGACACCAAGAGAAGCTCTGCTCGTCCTGTGTCCCAGCTCTCTGGCCATGTCAGAGCAACCAGCAATCCTTTTGGAGAGTCCCCACGGGGAAGGAGATGGTTGGGTGGTTGTGTTTGGGGGATGTTCAGAAGCCTCAGGCCTGATAACCCACCGGATCCCAGAACCACCAAGGCAGGCAGGGGCCTCAAAGCACAGGCCCAAGAGGGACCCAAGAACTGGCTGTTGACTATGACGGGCCACTGAGGACCTGCCATGCTGCCGGAACTACTTCCTCGCCTCCTAAAAGTAAATTAGGAGGAGCCTCTCTAAGGGCATTACTTAAGGTGTTTCTTATTGGAAACATGATAACAAAGGCTATAAAACAATGCAATGTGTCTCCTATGCCCCCTTCTGCCTGAGTGCACACTGGCACCTTGCTTCCTTTTCCTTCAAGGAAAGCATCCTGCCCTGACCCCCGCAAAGGCGTGGAGGGTGCAGAGCCCAGGGCCCACCTTTGCAGTGTCGGTGGAGCACGTCCAGGGCCGCAATGAGGAACTCGTGGGCGTCCTGCTGCTCGTAGCCTGCCAGGTGCCTCGCGTGGGTCCACACCAGGTGCAGCAACTTATATGGGATGTGAGGGGACCGGTGTCCAGAGTAAAACTGCCGGCGGGGGGGGGGAGGGAAGAGAAACTTTGTCAGGAATAAATGTAGACTCTGAACACAGAGGACACACAATCAAAGCCTTTATCAGCTGCCTACCATTGGCTGTGCCCCATCTGACACAAATGGTTAAATTTTACTTTTCTATGTTTTACAAAGTCTATTTTTATCTGGCCTCATTGGACTTTTTGAGTCCTCATATGAATTTTTACCTTTCCACCGTCTAGTTTTCCATGTATAAGCCTAAAAGATGAATTATGACTTGCTACTGTGAGATCACATGCAAATAAAGGGGACTCAATTTGCCCAATACTAGTTTCCTCAAAGCACAAGCCAAACCACGCAGGCCCACAGACACCAGCACCTCCGCAAAGGGAAGCACATCCTGTGATGATGCAGGATTCACCAGGATCAGCCACAGGACTCGCCGGCTCTGAGGCTAATGGCAGTTAGCTCAGGGCTTGCCAGTCAACCCTCTCTACCAACTCAACTCAGGACACCAGACCCAGCAGCACACCATCCATTCCACGGCTTCTGAATCAGGTCAGAACCCACAGAGGGTTCTTGCCTGTGCATATACAAAATTGAGGGCAGTTTTATTCCTCATCAAAAAGGCCCGAAAACCACAGACCACCCAAATGTGTCTGAACTGGGAAACAGACAACTAAACTACAGCCCTTCTCCACAATGGAACCCGACTCAGCCACCAAAAGCATACATCATGGCTGCACACGAAGACATGGGTGAACCCACCACATATAAAGTTAAGCAGGGGCAGCCAGATTCAGAAAGGCTACTTCCTGCATACATCCACCCAGATGATGTGCTGCTAAAGGACACTCAAGGGACCAAAGACAAATCAGCAACTGTCAGGGTCTGGGGACTGGGGGTTGACTTCAGAGGGGCACGAGGGAGTTTGGAGAGATGACAGTTCTTCATCTTGAGTAGCAGCAGTTATACAACTATGCATTCATCAAAACTTGTATCTATGTACTAAAAAGTGGTTATGACTGTAATTTACACCTTAACAAACTTGAGTCTGAAAAACAATCTAACACTTGTGTTAGATTATCACTAAAGCCAGTCACACAACCACCCACCAATTTCCTAGCTGCATCCTCCTTTCTCCTATTTAGGCTGTGGCCCCATTAGTTATGGTACATTGCAGGTACTTAGAGGAAATGGGTTAGACTTGACTACAGGCTGGCAAGGCCCAGGCAGAGGATGGGTACGGTGGCTCACACCTGTAATCCCAGCACATTGGGAGGCCAAGGATGGGGGATCACAAGGTCAGGAGTTCGAGACCAACCTGGTCAATATGGTGAAACCCCATCGCTACTAAAAATACAAAAGTTAGATGCTTGTGGTGTTATGTATCCGTAATCCTAGCTACTCGGGGGGAATGAGGCAGAAAAATCACTTGAACCCGGAAGGCGGAGGTTGCAATGAGCCGAGACTGTACAACTGCACTCCAGCCTGGGCAACAGAGCGTTTCAAAAAAAAGAGAGAGAGAGAGAAAGAAAGGAAAGGAAAGGGGAAAAGTGAAGGAAAGGGTAGAGGAAAGGGAAAGGAAGGCCAGCCCAGGCTGTAAAAGTTTAAGCTTTGCAGGTAGGACAGCTTCTGTCCAACTGCTCAACTCTGCGGCTGTCCTGAAAAAGCGACCAATGACCAGACGTAAGCAGGCAGCCACAGCTGCGTCTCTTGCTGAGGTTACTCACAGAAACAGGCCAGGGTTGTCGGCTGGCACCTGTGCAACGCACCTGAAGGACAGGCACCATCCTGGTCTTTAGTTGAGGTAACAGAGCTGCTTCAGCTCTGAGAAGCACGTCATAGAGCCAGTGGGGGCTGAGGCGGCAACCCTTATGTGCACCCTGAGCACTGCCATGCTCTGATGTTGGACAGACATGGACAGGAACCAGCAACGTGCAGCACATAGCTCATGAGGCTCTGGCAGGGCATCTTAGAGAGGCCTGGGAGCAGCAAAGACCCACATTCTAGGAGGACGCAGGAAGGCGGCACATGCATGCCTTTCTGAGCCAGGAAAGCAGACCACTGAGGAAGAGGAAGGGGGAGAATCACCCCCGTCTTTAGAGACAAATGTCACCTGCCAGGGAACTCCACTATGTGCCTCCCAAAGAGCTCCTCTGAGTCAGCAGTGTGTCCCCAGAACTCATGCCAGGTCTTCTCTTTTTGGAAAACCGTGTTTTCCATAACTGACATGTATATTAAACATTAACTTACCACAAAAGGTTCTTAATGTACCTTCCTTTATCACAGGCCACCTTATTTCATTTTTTATTTTTTTAGGGAAATGCTCCCCTGCAGAAGTCAGTGGTACTCACCTCCTGAAACAGTGAGGACATCTCACACACCAGACAGGAGCTGGGGCTCTGCATCTCACAGCGGTGCCTGTCAGACAGGAAGAAGTCCCGCAGAAGTGGCGTGTGGGTCAGAGCCTGCACGATGCAGTTCATGAAGCACGTGTTCCCAAGGTTGATCAGGCCGCGCAGACCTGCACAGAAGTCACCAGAGCAAGAGTTACCTGTGTGCTGAACCACAGGCGCTGCTGGACCCAAGCAGCCGCCTCTCCCTCTACTTACTCATTTTCTTTTATTCATTCATTCGAGAAGCCAGAAAACAACAAGATGTCACATTTTGCTAGTTTTGACACCACTTTTACATGAGTGATATTGAAGAATGTCCCCCATCATCACCCCCTCCCACTTTGGCCATGTGTGCTTTCAGAGAATTACACAAATACAGTTTCTACAACAGGCCAGGTCAGAATGGAGCCTAACAAACAAACAAAACAGCTTTCAAAAAATGTTCTAGGGCCAGGTGCAGAGGCTCACACCTGTAATACCAGCACTTTGGAAAGCCAAGACGTGAGGATCACTGGAACCCAAGAGTTTGAGACCCCCCTGGGCAACACCGTGAAGCCATGTCCCTACACAAAACACAAAAATTAACCAAGCATGGTGGTGTGCACCTGCAATCCCAGCTACTTAGGAGGATAAGGTGGAAGGATTGCTTGGGCACAGGAGACGGAGGCTGCAGTGAGGTGAGATGGCAAAACCACTCCAGCCTGGGCAACAGAGCAAGAACCTGTCTCAAAAAAAAAAAAAGTTATAAAAGGTTTTCCCTCAATTTGTAGAAAATTCAGCAAACACTTGCACTCACACATATCATTTCTCTCCCTGAAGATTACTGTCCCAGCCTCACCCTGGCCAGAATCAACTTGAGTCCCTTTACGCACACAGACGCAGAATGTGGCAAGGACAGGGGCCACTGCCATGCATCGCTCTGTGCCCCAAGCCCACCACAGGTCCCTGCAGAGAACAGGTGCTCAAGAGCTGGTCACTGAGCACATCGATGAGTGACAGTTACGCAGGGTGTCAACAGAATCATGTGGACTTACAAAACCCCTAATTCTGTATATACTTTTAAACCCCAGAAAGAAGCCGTGCTTAGCAACAACGCGACTGCAGACAGCACCCTCCACCCACCTATGGTGCAGTTCGAGGTGATCTTTCTCCTTTTCGGATTATGCTTCAGCAGTTCAAGCTCCCGTTTGGTTGGTTCCCAGGTTGAAAACTTCTCTCCAGCGCCTGAGCAGATGAAGGACAATTCCAGCTGCTATTAGCAAAATTTTCACATCAAGTGTGTTTACACATAAAAGCTGTGGTGCTATGATATCTGTCAGGGTGCATTTCAGTGAGGGACAGCCACAGCATCAGGGCCTTCTCAAAACCTCCTGTGCTGATGGGCTACACATAACACTGAAAGGAGCTTCTCACAGAGGGTGTGAGCTACATTTCCTGCAAAAAGAAAAGCAGCACCTCCAGTCTAGACTACCCCAATGCCAATGCCCAAACAGTTCATTTTTTGTTGTTGTTTTTTTTTGAGACAGAAGTTTCGCTCTTGTTGCCCAGGCTGGAGTGCAATGGCACGATCTCAGCTCACTGCAACCTCCGCCTCCCGAGTTCAAGCAATTTTATTGCTTCAGCCTCCAGAGTAGCTAATATTACAAGCATGTGCCAAAATGCCCAGCTAATTTTATATTTTTAGTAGAGACGGGGTTTCTCCATGTTGGTCAGGCTGGTCTCGAACTCCTGACCTCAGGTGATCCTCCCGCCTCGGCCTCCCAAAGCACTGGGATTACAGGCGTGAGCCACTGCGCCTGGCACAGTTGTTTTTCAAATGTCATCCATCCTTTAGCCCAGAGATGGCAGTATCAGAGCCATGGGAACTTACATGAAGGATTCTCCTGCAAACAAGTGAAATCGAAGGAGAGAACATACACTTTTTAGCAAACTGAACTGGCATAAACACAGCACAGTTACCAAACTAAATCCAACAGTTAAAAACGTGTGTGCCACAAAATATTCAGAGTGGTACAAACGCAACCCTTTGCACTCAGAGGTACTTGTTCCATGCCAGCCAACATTTCTGAATACTTCAAAATACCTTTAAAGACACAGCGTGGCCAGGTGTGGTGGCTCAAGCTTGTAATCCAAGCACTTTGGAGGCCTAGGTGGGCAGATCACCTGAGGTCAGGAGTTCAAGACCAGCCTGACCAACATGGTGAAACCCTGTCATTTAAAAAAAAAAAAAAGACATAGCATGTTGGGTAGGTGGAATTATGAAATGATTCTAGAAGAATTCCATTTTAAGCCTAGACATACATCTCTTAGGCATGTGCTTTAAATGCTCTGCACAAAACAATACTCCCACACTAAGTAACAATGTTATTAAATTTCTGAAGGAAAAGAATAGAGAACACAAGTCAGAGATTGCTCTCCAGAAAAGACTTGTTAAACACAAACAATTCTGCTCACTGAAAGGGCGCCTGTTGCTATTCTTGCCTTCTCAAAAACACTGGGGTGTTTCCACTGGAGAATAATCAAGGCAAGAATGTAAAACAGGCGCCAGGTTCATACATTTCCTTTGCAAACAGCAATGACTCTGCTACCAGAGAGATCAGAAGCTCACCTGTCAACTAGGGCAAACCACACCTGTCACTGACAACCACTATGAGCATCTGTCAGAAGTGAAAACCAAAACCAAAAAGAAAATCAACTCGGGGAAGCCAAGAATAAATAAATAATAAAGAACGTGGCTGCATGATGTCTGCACCTCTCACTCAGCCTATAACCAGAGTGTGTGGCACGGAAAGGCGACGGCAGGCCTGAAGGCCACACTGGTGCGAGAGCCACGAGGGCGGCTCTGAGGGCAAGGTTCTGACGCAGGGAGTGGGGCTGGGAGAGCAGAGGGTGGCTCCGAGGGCAAGGATCTGACTGTGTGGGGCGGGGGACTGGGAAAGCCACGAGGGCGGCTCCGAAGGCAAGGATCTGACTGTGCGGGGCGGGGCTGGGAGAGCCAAGAGGGCAGCTCTGAGGGCAAGGATCTGATTGTGCGGGGCGGGCGTGAGAGCCACGAGGGCAAGGATCTGACTGAACGGGGCGGGGGGCTGCGAGAGCCACGAGGGCAAGGATCTGACTGTGTGGGGCGGGGGGCTGTGAGAGCCACGAGGGCAGCTCCGAGGGCAAGGATCTGACTTCGTGGGGCGGGGGGCTGGCAGGAGACTCTCTTCGCTTCCATCTGCTGAGTTCACTCTGCCGACATGGATTTAGTATCACCCAAACAGTCCACAGTTTTCAAAGAGATTCTACCACAACTCACTCAGAAAATAGTCTGCCCTCCTAGGAGGAAGCAGGTATGTTTACACATAATATTACAAGAGATCCAGCAGAGCTGAGGGCAAACCACTCCGGATATGGAGTCGCCTGTTCCCCAGAGGTGTGACCTCACCACACTGGTTCAGTCCCACATTTGCAGGTGCACCCCAGGAGAGCTTAAGTACTGCTGGGTTGTTCCCCTAACCCAGCAGCAGGCCCATAGGGGACCTGCAAGGTAACACCTTGGAAGTGGTCCCAGGCACAGGGGCAGCTATGCATGCCTCGATGTTAGCCCCTCCCCTGCAGTGCACAGCTTCAGCTGACTCCACTGTGGGCCTTAGGGGAAGGTGAGGGGCCTCTTCCCACCAGCCACCATCTTCCTACTAGGTACTTCTATTTCTCCTATGGGGTCTGCCCTTGATGGACATGCGGGAATTGCAGGGTCAGGGAGGTAAACTGAGGCAGAACCAAACCTTGCATTTTCCAAGCCTTCCGCTGCTCCTCCTTGGCAATTATTTCCATGTCTTTGTCATAGATGTAGTCCTGACACAGAAAGCAGTAGATGCCTCCATACATCAGATCAATGGCTGAAGACAGAAAGGAGGGAGGATAAATGGCATTGAATTACAAACAAGGAAATGCTGCAGGGCAGAGTTAAACACAGTGAGGTTCTGGAGACACTGACTGTTCACAGCACCTTCCTATGACCAAGCCGCAGTGCCTAGTCCAGCAGGGTCTCCTACCTGAGCAGCTGAGGAGTGTGCACTGTGCTTGGGAGCTCATGCCCAGGGCTGAGGTGTCTAAAAAACAGAGGGGATCCATACATACTTTTTAAAGTAGCCAATACTCCAGGATCAGGACCTCTGCCACCTTCTCTGAATGAGTGGTATTTAAAACTGGTACATCTGCATTGGGTGTTTTCACTCCTGGCCACCTGACACAGTGACTGTGCTTCCCTCCATCTAGGATTCCTGACACCATCACCATAAAGAACGCAGCAGCAACTTGCTGTGACTTTTGTGGTTGGCAGCATTCGCTACTCTTACCTTAAGGACAGGGGTAAAATAGTTTCTCATTGGATGATCTTGATTGACATCTTGACCCATAACTACCTGAAGATGGATCTCCCACAGTTTCTCAACTGCATCTTCTATAAAATGGACTAATAGGCTGGGAGCTGTGGCTCATGCCTGTAATCCCAGCACTATGGGAGGCCGAGGTGGGCAGATCACTTGAGACCAGGAGTTCGAGAACAGCCTGGCCAACATAATGAAACCCTGTCTCTACTAAAGGACAAAAAAGTAGCCAGGCATGATGGCACACACCTGTAATCCCAACTACCTGGGAGGCTGAGACAGGAGAATCACTTGAACCTGGGAAGCAGAGGCTGCAATGAGCCAAGACCACACCACTGCACTCAAACCTGGGCAACAAGAAAGAAACTCCTTCTCAAAAAAAAAAAGGTTAATTGGATCTTATGTGGCCAGAAGCAGTGGCTTACACCTGTAAGCCCAGCACTTTGGGAGGCCAAGGTGGGCAGATCACTTAAGGTCAGGCGTTTGAGACCAGCCTGGCCAATACAGTGAAATCCCATCTCTACTAAAAATACAAAAATTAGCTGGGCTGGTGGCGCATGCCTGTAATCCCAGCTACTGAGGGATTACTGGCAGCATTTGGTACTGTTCAGCCCCACATTTGCAGTTGTGCCCTGGGAGAGCTTAAGTACTGCTGGGGTTGTTCCCCTAACCCAACCGCAGGAGCCTGAGGCAGGAGACTCACTTGAAGCCGAGAGGAGGAGGTTGCAGTGAGCCAAGACTGCGCCACTGCACTCCAGCCTGGGTGACAGAGTGAAATCTGTCATGCCCAGACACATACTTTCTTAAGTACAAATATATTCCCAATGTTCCATAACCCTTTTCACCACACTGAAACCCAGCCCCGGTGTAATAGCAGCATACATTGGTCTGAGAATCAGAACAGAAACATTCTTCATTTATCCTATTCAAGGCAAGTATCTACACTACGGAGCTACTGTAGAATTCTATCACACCCACCCGGTCCTCATCAGCGTCCTCTCCCTTTACTTCCTCCATGTCAGAAGTCATCACTCTCTGCCAATCCCTCACCGTGGATTAGGCAGCCTGGTCACCTGGGGCCAATCAGGGCCCTGTGTGCCCTCAGCTCTCTTTCCAGAAAGGCCTAGCAACTCACTGTTACAACTTGAGGCCGTACTTTCAAGCAGCCTTTTCACAGCCAGTTGCTCTTAGTTGCAAATGAGATTCGTCCCCGGGCAATGACCGACTTATTCATTTTCATCTCTTTTACTTAAAGCTTTCTTTAATATCAACTACCACCATGTCACCTAGAAATTAAATATGTTTCCTTTACAATAACTGTAGCTGTGGCAAAATAGCATGATATTGAGGCCACAGCTTCCAGGTGTCTATAGGGAAACAGTGGGATAATAAACACATGATATTATAAGGCAGAGATATGTTTTGCTTTAAATCGTCTCCCTTCTTTTTTATTTTATTTCTTTGAGACAGGGGCTTGCTCTATCACCCAGGTGGGAGTGCAGTGGCTTGACCACAGCTCACCACAGCCTTGACCTCCTAGGCTCAAGGAATCTTGCCACCTCAGCCTCCTGAGTGAGGAGCCAGGACCACAGACACACCACGATGCCCTGCTAATTTTTAAATTTTTTGTAGAGACAGGATTTCACCATGTTGCCCAGACTGGTCTTGAACTCCTGAGCTAAGGTAATCTGCCTACCTCAGCCTCCCAAAGTGCTGGGATTAGTTGCAAGCCACACCGCTCCACCGTCATCTCACTTCTTAAAAAAAAAAAAAAGAAAAGAAAAAAATAGCTGGACGCAGTGGCTCACACCTGTAATCCCAGCACTTTGGTAGGCCGAGGTGGGCAGATCACGAGGTCAGGAGATGGAGACCATCTTGGCCAACATGGTGAAACCCTGTCTCTACTAAAAATACAAAAATAAGCCTGGCATATAGTCCCAGCTACTCGGGAGGCTGAGGCAGGAGAATCATTTGAACCCCGGAGGTGGAGGCTGCAGTGAGCTGAGATTGTGCCACTGCACTTCAGCCCGAGCAATAGAGTGAGACTCCATCTCAAAAATAAAAATAAAAATAAATTTACTAGGAAAAAAATCAGACACACCGTGGCCAGGCATGGTGGCTCATGCCTGTAATCCCAGCACTTTGGAAGGCCACATCCAGAGGATCGTTTGGGCCCAGGAGTTCAAGACTAGCCTAGGCAACATATTGAGACCCTGCCTCTACAAAAAAATTTTAAACACAGGAAGTTATTCGGCCTCCCAAAGTGCTAGGATTCCAGCTGTGGTGGTGTGTGCCTGTGGTCCCAATGAGAGGCTGAGGCAGGAGGATCTCTTGAGTTCAAGAGGTCGAGGCCACAGGGAGCCATGACTGCACCACTGTACTCCAGCCTGCACTCCAGACGGAAGCAAGACTGTCTCCAAAAAAAAAAAAAATCAGACACATTTTCTATGTCAGCCTCAGTTAAAGCTGTGGGTCTTATCCTTTACTACGAGCACTCCTTGTAGAGAGCTTTAAGGGATATCGGTGACTGCAGTAACTTAATGGACTCACAATGTTTCCAATAGGTCTTTTTGGGCTAATTTTTTTTTTCTTTTTTTTTTTTGAGACGGAGTTTCACTCTTGTTACCCAGGCTGAAGTGCAACAGTGCGATCTCGGCTCACCGCAACCTCCGCCTCCTGGGTTCAGGCAATTCTCCTGAGTAGCTGGGATTACAGACACGCGCCACCATGCCCGGCTAATTTTTTTGTATTTTTAGTAGAGACAGGGTTTCACCATGTTGACCAGGATGGTCTCGATCTCTTGACCTTGTGATCCACCCGCCTCGGCCTCCCAAAGTGCTGGGATTACAGGTGTGAGCCACCGCACCCGGCTAGGCTAACGTTTTTAAGAGAGCATCAGATTACAGAACTTCAGGGGGGAAAAGCCTAAAAATATCTTTACCTGGAATCACTAGGCTCACATGAATTATTCCCTAAAACAGGTCTCTGGCATGGACCCCTTGAAAATGCTATTCTGAAGGATATCCTGCCAACCTCATAAGCATTCCAAGGAAAACACTAATGTGTAGAAGAAACATTTAATGCACACAGTCAGAAAACAAAGCCAAGGCCAGGTGCGGTGGCTCACACCTGTAATCCCTGCACTTTGGGAGGCCAAGGCAGGAAGATCACCTGAGGTCAGAAGTTTTGAGACCAACCTTGCCAACACAGTGAGGCCCCGTCTCTACTAAAAGTATAAAAATTAGCCAGGCATGGTAGCAGGTACCTGTAATCCCAGTTACAAGGCTGAGGCAGGAGAATTGCTTCAACCCAAGAGGGAGAGATTGCAGTGAGCCAAGATCATGCCCTGGGTGACAGAGAGAGACACCATCTCAAAAAAAAAAAAAAAAAAGCCAAGAGTTTCATGTAACTTTTAGAATGCAGAATGAATTTGATTTTGTAAGGCTGTGAGAGGTAAATTCATCTTGAGGCCACACACAATGCTAAGGGAGCCTTTTCAGGAACTCTGTGACTTGAAACAATGAAACCCATTGCTGAGGCCATAAAATCACCTGTGCACACCAACCCCCTGCTGACCTGAGTAATCTCTTGTTGCCCAGTCTGGAGTCCAATGGCACAATCTTGGCTCACTGCAACTTCTGCCTCCTGCGTTCAAGCCATTCTCCTGCCTCAGCCTCCCAAGTAGCTGGGATTACAGGCATGTGGCACCACACCTGGCTAATTTTTTTATTTTTTAGTAGAGACAGGGTTTCACCATGTTGGTCAGGCTGGTCTTAAATTGCATGGAGCTTTTTCTTAACAAATGTTTGCCTAAGATGATTCCTAACTATGTGCTTCAGGGAAAGATGAGGGTCTAATGTTTCATTAACAGGGATAGTGTAACTTTTCACAGGAAGTCAGCTAGACATAGACAGCAGGCCATTCACTCAGGACCATCAATGCTAAGGCAAACTGGGGGCGTGATTCAGCCAACCTCTGCTTGTCCCTTTCACTTTCCTTAATAAGTGTCACCAGTGAGGGGCACACATTACTTGAGATAAATGACAAAGGAGACTTTTGGAAAAGTGGAACTGCAAATCAAAGAGTAGCAATTTGGGGGCCACAACTATCCCCATCCAAGAAGCTCGCCTCACCCAGGTTGTGCCGCTTCGACTTCGCGTGCTCGTGAATATGCTTCTTTGTGAAGCAGCCGAAGAAGACGCAGTAGAGGCAGGAATGCAGCCTGTTGAGGTGGACGCCACAGACATGGCAGATGCAGGACTTGGCCTGAAATTCAAAGAAGTGGAGATGTGGGCGGTGTGTGACAGGACAGGGGTGCTCGGAGGAAACAGTCAAGCAAAGGCTCCCCCCGGAACAGCTACTGGAGGAAGGACAGAGAGTTCAACTCTAGAGGATCAGTTTCATTCTTTCAATTCCCCCAAACGGGACTTCATTCAAGTTCAAAACTAGCTCCCCATAGGAAAACTCAGCCCACAATCTCAACTGCCAAAACCCTGTAAGCTATGAGGATATTCCCCTTACGTCCTCCTCCTCATCTTGAGGGGCACCCCAAGCCCAGCTCCTGTCCCCACTGCAGGGCCGTAACTAACACCAGTCACCCTTAACCTGACATCATTTCAGGTTTGCGAAATCCACGTTCCAAACCACAGCAAATTTAGAAGCAATAAGAAAAAGGTAGGGAGATATGAATCAAAGCAATGTATAGGAGAAAGAAAAAGAAGTAGGGCATTACCAAAAAACAGACCTCAAAAACCTGAAATGTTAGATCACGGTAATGAGGCACACAGTGGTTAACAACCCTTACATACCCAACCACCCAGGACGCTACTGACTCGCACAACACTGACAGGACGTGTGAACAGGGACAGGCACCACTGGCAATACTGGCACAATTTGAGCACAGAAATGAAAAATAGGAATAAATTATTTATACTGACTTTGAAAAGAATCCCCAAGTCCAGACTGATAAATATATACACCTACTATATACCCATCAGATTTTTAAAAAAAGAAATTAATACTATACAAACACACAGAAAGTCTTCTTCACAGGAGAATTCCTTCTGATAAATGTCGCAGAAAGACAAAAATACAAGATCTTCATTTTATACTTATCATAGTAATAACTTATTCAGGCAAGAATCATCAGCAGATGCTAGAACCATCGGGTAAAAAAATACTGTGCCGGCCAGGCACGATGGCTCACACCTGTAATTCCAACACTTTGGGAGGCCAAGGTGGGCAGATCACAAGGTCAGGAGTTCAAGACCAGCCCGGTCAACATGGTGAAACCCCGTCTCTGCTAAAAAAACAAAAAATTAGCCGGGCATGGTGGCATATGCCTGTAATCCCAGCTACTTGGGAGGCTGAGGCAGGAGAACAGCTTGAACCCAGGAGGTGGAGGCTGCAGTAAGCCAAAATCGTGCCACTGCACTCCAGCCAGGGTGACAGAGCAAGACTCCATCTCAAAATTAAAAAAAAAAAATTGTCATTCCCAACTGTCTGAAGAAAAACGGCCCAGATACTCATCAACAGGTGAGTGGGTGAACAAACTGTAGCATATACAGTGTAATATTAATTACTCCACTACACAAAGGAACAAAGTACTAACACATGCTACAATGCTGACTAGTCTTAAAAACATCATGCTAAGTGATGGAAGCCAGAAACAAAAGATCACGTATCCTGTGAGTCTATTTATATAAAATACTCAGGATAAGTAAATCTACCAACACAACTCAGATGGGAAGCTGCCAGGGGCTGCAGGCAGCAAGAACAAGGAGATGAAAACGTTTTCAAATTTGATATAGGTAGGGCAGTGACTGCAGAGCAGTGTGAGCCACTAAGTGTTGCTGAAAGATTCCTCTAAAACGGTTAGTTGTATTATGTGAATTTCACCTCAATAAAAAAATACATTAAGTTACATATAGAATTGTCCCTCGGTATCTAGAAAGTGATTCCAGGACCCTCTCAGGTACCAATCCATGGATACTCAACTCCCCGATATAAAATGCACTTGCAAATAACCTATGCACATCCTACCATAAACTTTCAATCATCTCTAGATTACTTATAATACCTAATACAAAGCAGATGCTATGCAAACAGTGGTTATAGTGTATTGTTTCAGGAATAATGAGATGAGAAAAGTCTGTACATGTTCAGTACTGATTCAGCCATCCCTTTTCTCCCCCAAGCATCTTTGATTTGTGGTTGACTGAACCCACAGAGGCAGAACTCAGGCTGCTTGTACATGCATGTATGCACGCACGCATGTATACTTGTGTACTGAGGCACTGAATACCTACAGTTACAGACTACCACCCCAGAGACGACTTCAGTCAATTAAACAGGAAAAGATTACCTCTGCAACAGAGAACTCTGGCCAATGCCACCCTAAGCAAACTCACCCCCGCCATGGAGCGGGCAGGTACAGAGGATGGCACGGCAGCACCTGTGGAGTACTCCGACCAACACGGTCCATCTGTAACCTGCTCCTGAGAAGGAGGAGGCATGTACAAACTGAAGGACTTCTGCAAAATGACTGACCTGAGCTCTTCAAAAATATTCACGTAATGAAAGAAAAATAGGCTAGGAATTTCTAGATGAACCAAATCTAAAGACACATGAAAACAAATGCAGTCCATGATCCTGAATTGAATCCTGTATGCAAATATTTAAAAGCATAAAGCATATCATCAGGACAATTCAGGTATTTAAATCTGGACAATATGTTAGCTAATACGATTTGAAAAATTAAGCTCTGACTGTGATGACTATCCCAGGAGGTAAACTGTCATGATGCCCACAACCGGCCCTCAGATGATTCAGAAAAAGGTGCAGACATAAAACCAGCGAGTAAGAAGCTAAAATTAATGAATTCATATAAATGTATGATATTAATTTTGGCATTCTTGCTATTTGTTGTAGGTTTATTTTCAAAATAAACTGATAGGAGACATTAAATTGAGCATACATACCCTGCAGCCCAACCATTCAACTCATAGGTTTATATGCAACGAGACACATACAAGGACTTTTGTACCATTATTATTTGCAATACCTCAACACTGAAAATAAAAATGTTCATTACTAGTAAAAAAACAAAACAAAACTATAGTACAGTTAATTCAATAGAGCACTACACAGCAACAGAAAGGAACCTATGATATACTTAGTGGCGTAGATGAATCTCAGAACTGAACCAAACTGAGCTAAACACAAGAAGCCCCTGCTGTGCTACACTCCTTTATATTCTCTCTGCTACACAACCTAGGATGCTCCCCTGCACAGGTTAACCAATCACCATGGAAGTCACATTTTACAGGCCTTATGGAGCCAACACAGCTAAGAGACAGCTTCTCCATGATTCAAGTGGCCAACCAACAAGGCAACTGGTACTAAATACAGAACACGGTTGTCCCTGACATACTGATAAAGCCTTTATCTTATGTCTTGTCTAGTCACGCACCACATAGCAGTGTTGCAGTGAATGACAGGCTGCACGTACGATGGTGGTCCTGGAAGATTACAATAGCATATTTTTACTCTATCTTTTCTATGTTTGGCTACAGACACACAAATGCTCACCATTGTGTTTCAATTGCCTATAGTGTCCAGTACAGTACGTGCTGTATAGGCCTGCGGCTGAGGAGCAACAGGTTCCATCACACAGCCTGGGTGTGCAGTAGGCTGTACTGTCTAGCTTTGTGCTACGTCACTCTATGATGTTCGTACAAGGATGAAATTGCCTAACAATGCATTTCTCAGAATGTATCCTGTTATTAACAATGCCATGACTGTTATTTTATTTCTCCCCAACTTGCACTGTGCAATGGTGAGTCCATTAATACTGCATCAGATTGAAATTTAATAGAGGCAGACACAGGAGGGAGGCAGCACAAGTCTTCCAGCGTCTAGAGGAGGCCAGGAAGAGCCTCTGGGGGGGAACTACCCGGCAAGCTTTATTTTGGACGTCCAGTCACAGAATTTGAGATGAAATTTCTGTTGCTCTAAGTCACTCCATGTGTGGTAGTTTGTTACAGCAGCCCTGGGCACTCACATGGGACTCACATTCATTTTTATTCTAACTCTCTTCAAGACACTAAAGTAGAAAACACAGCCAGGCATGGTGGCTCATGCCAAAAATCCAGCACCACTTTGAGAGGCCGAGGTGGGAGGACTGCTTGAAGCCAGGAGTTCAAGACCAGCCTGGGCAAAATAATGAAACCTCATCTCTACAAAAAATGCAAAACTTAGCTGGGCATAGTGAGGCACACCTGTAGTCCCAGCAACTCAGGATCCTTTGAGTTGGGGAGGTCAAGGCTGCAGTGAGCCAAGATCGCATCACTGCCCTCTAGCCTGCGCAACAGAACCAGACCTGTCTTTGAAAAAAAAAAAAATAGTTGAAAATGCATTCCCTAGGCACCCTTGTGGCTCAGGTTCCAAACATGTCTTAGGACACATTTGCAGACCATAGGGTTGGTGAGTAAGCCAAAGAGAGAGGTCCAGTGGGGCATCCACATGCTGGCATGAACCCTGAAGGTGTGGCCTGTTTAAGCAGCCCAGCACACTAGTTCCTGGTGTGCTGGGCTGAAGGGGCAGGATTCCCCAGGCTGGTGTGTTTTCCTAGAAACTCAACCTAGAATCTACTACTCCCATATCCCTTGCAATGACTTCTGAATTAAATCCCTTTCTCCTATAAATTAATTCAAGTAGCTTCCATAGACTGCCAGTAAATCCTGAAACATAACTAGGATTTGTATGTGACAGGAATTAGAAGAAGGATTAGTAATTTAAACAAATTGTTGTTGAGAGAAACACCCTGCCAAATCCATTAATTCAGTCCCAATATTAAGAATATTCCTGGCCGGGCACGGTGGCGCGTGCCTGTAATCCCAGCTACTCAGGAGGCTGAGGCAGAATAATTGCCTGAACCCAGGAGGCAGAGGTTGCAGTGAGCCGAGATCGCACCATTGCACTCCAGCCTGGTGACAAGAGTGAAACTCCGTCTCAAAAAAAAAAAGAATATTCCTCTGAATATCCTATTTCTCTTATCTCCTTACACTGCCTCCCACCCCAAGAAGGATGGGGAGGAGCAAGAGGGGCACAGCCCTTGTACTCAACCCCCATGAGGGCTTACCCTACAGATGGCTCATCAGTACATTGAATTTTGAGTCCAGATTTTAAAAAGTGTGCAAATGTGACACAGCACCTTAGGAGCTAGTGCACTTTTAACACATTACTCATGACTTCCTACTGGTCTGGAACCTGAGTATCTTAGGAAGGTAAGTTTAATTCTTGTGCATTCTCTTCAGTGACTTTTTCAAGGGTTGAAACACGTAAGTGAAGGGACATGTGTAAGTATTCTTTTTTTTTTTGGAGACAGGGTCTCACCAGGCTGGAAGTTCAGTGACACAATCTCAGCTCACTGCAACCTCTGCCTCCCAGGTTCAATCGATTCTCCTGCCTCGGCCTCCAAGGAGCTGGGATAACAGGCATGTACCACCATGTTCAGCTAATTTTTGTATTTTTAGTGGAGATGGGGTTTCACCATGTTGGCCAGGATGGTCTGGATCTCGATCTCATGATCCACCCACCTCGGCCTCCCAAAGTGCAGGGATTACAGGTGTGAGCCACGGCGCCCAGCCTAAATATTCTATCCTTTATATGAAAAAATATGGCACTAAAAAGCTAAAGACTTCAAAATTAGGTAATTTTCTCAAATTAAGTTCCCCAACCTCAGACACCTCAGCATCCAGACTCAAGCCTCTCAATCTCAATCTAAAGGTACTAAAATCGGGCCGGGCGCGGTGGCTTACACTTGTAATCCCAGCACTTTGGGAGGCCGAGGCGGGTGGATCACAAGGTCAAGAGATTGAGACCATCCAGGTCAACATGGTGAAACCCCGTCTCTACTAAAAATACAAAAAATTAGCTGGGCATGGTGTTGCGTGCCTGTAATCCCAGCTACTCGGGAGGCTGAGGCAGGAGAATTGCCTGAACCCAGGAGGCAGAGGTTGCAGTGAGCCAAGATCGTGCCATTGCACTCCAGCCTGGGTCACAAGAGCGAAACTCCTTCTCAAAAAAAATAAATAAATAAATAAATAAATAAAGGTACTAAAATCAATCTAAGGGTACAGCGACTCCAGACCTTTCAATCTACAGAAGGGGTAATTTCATTCAGCAAGGGCAAGACCTCAGACTGACCTCGTTTCAAGGCCTGGACCCAGCAGTTACCGGTGGTGTCCTTGGGCAGGTCGGAGACTTACTTGCCAGGCCTACCCATGTACCAAAATCAGAATGAAATTATGTATGAAATATAAAACATCACAGCAGTCCTTCCTTAACTACAGTTTCGCCTGCTGTGGTTTCAGTTACCCAAAGTGAACCTCATGGAAATGCCAAAAATATTTCATAAGCTTTAAACTGCCCGTCATTCTGAGAAGCAGGATGAAACTGAGTGACATCCCGCTCTGTCCCGTGACCATCCCTTTGTCCAGCTTCTCCATGCCGTTTAGGCCACCTGCCCATTAGTCACTTGGTAGTCGCCTTGCTGATCACATCATCTGTTGCAGTGGCTTGTGTTCCAGCCACTTTTATTTGACTTAATATGACCCCAAAGCTCAGAGTACTAATGCTGCAATTTCGATATGCCAAAGAAAAGCCATAAAGAGCTTCTTTCACGTGAAAACCTGAAAATTCTTGACTGAATAAGAAAACAGTATCAAATGATGAGGCTGCTAAGACCTACAGTCAGAACAAATCTATCCATGAAATTATGAAGGAAAAAAAAGTTTGCACATAGTATATATAGGGTTCAGTATTATCTGTGGTTTCAGGCATCTACTGGGGGTCGTGGAATGTATCCCTCAAAGATGGGGGTAAGTACTATATTATCATAAATGGAAAATGAGGAAGCCCAAGAGATGCTGGGAGCTGCCAAGGGACACATGCTTGGGCAGAGGCAGGCTGGGGCAAAATCCTTCTGTTACTGTCTTAGGTTCATCTTTCTTTAAATCGAGCTCATCTCACCCCGACTGTCAATTACACATGAATGGGGAGCAATCACATTATCCTAAAGCCTCATTTTCATCTGTCATGCCCACTTAGTTCCTAGAGTTTCTTACCAGAGCTGCTAACATGTAATAATAAAACTCAAACTCAATTCTCTCTCAATTTCTACTCTTCAGCACCCTCTGCTACAGGTATTGGCCAACATAAAACAAGAGGCAAGTAGATGACTCATATATCCACAAGGCGGGTCATTTTAACCCCTGAAAACTGAGTTTACTTCCTACCTAAGCTTCCATCCACTTGATACTGATGTGATCGAGTCTGTGTGCTAAATAAAGAAAAAGCCTTGATAGAAGATCCTGCTACCAATCTGTAGGAAGTAGAACCAAAAACACCCACTTTGAACTTGCACTGTGGAGTATGCAATCAGCAAAATCCAGACTATAGGAAAGTCAACAAGTCAAAAGGCCCAAGTTCTTCAACAGATAAAGTAGAACTAAAAAAAATGGCAAAAAGGAATGAAAAGAGAAGCTACAAAGTAAGAGACTTAAACCACTTATCAGTATAGCCACATGGTAAATAACATCAAAAAATAAAAAGAAATGAACTCTCAATCCACTCAATGAACACTGCTAGACAGAAGAAGCCAGTCTGAAAAAGCTGTAGACTGCATGAACCCAAATACATGACATTCTAAAATGGGGAAAATCTCAAGAGATGGAGAAGAGACTGGTAGTTGTGGAGAGCTTAGGAGGTGAGGCGCAGGGATTTTGGGGGCAGTGCGACTGTTCTGTACGGTACTGTAGTTGTGGATGCCTCTGTCAAATCTACTGAACTTTACAGCGCAAAGAGCAAACATTAATCTATGTAATTTTAAAAATAATTAATGAGGCCCTATGGAATGCAGGCTGAGGCAGAAGAAACCAATTGAATTACACATACAGGACTCAACTCCACAGAGGGGTGGGGAGAGAAGCACCTAAGTAATGTGGAAATGAGGGGAGAATGTAAGACTCAAAGTGAAAGGAACTGTACCTGAGTGCTGTACTCTAAGGGGTCAAGTCATTCAAAGAGTACAGGACAACAATTCTGAAACCTCTATTCAGGTATACCAAAGCAGAGCAAATAAGTAAATGGACCGTGGATAGCGGGAGCCAGGATTTTCTCTGTCAGACAGAGAAATTACAGATAAACTGGAGGGGAAGGCTAGAATAATCCCGATAGAGCTGGATTAGAGTTGGAGACTTCAACGTAAATGAGTGTAGAGCTTAATATGGATGCAGATGGATATATATCAAAATAATCACAGATGTGTATATACACGCATTTGTATATACACACCTGTTTTCCCAACTCTGTCCCCTGAGGGGGCCAAGATGCCATGATATCCCAGTAATAATGAGCACACCAGTGCCCAGATCTTGGTTTCTAATTCCATTCTCCCATAAAACGAACTGGGGATCCTTGGAGAAATGCTGGAGTCTAAGCCTGGGGCAGAAAACACATACGTGATCCCAGAACATCATGTAGTACCAGAATGTAAGGAAGTGCTCAAAAACAGCAAACAAATAATAATGTGACTATGTGAAAGGAACACAGGAGTCAGCTGAAAGAGCTCCCAGTGGACACAGCCAGATGACAGGGGCAACGAAACAAACCACACAGCACTAGATGATAACCCAAAGCATACACTCAATATCTGCAAGTCCATGTTGATAGGAGTAACTGAATAAACATACAAATGAGTAAGGATCAGCAAATCTTCCATACAGAAACATTCCAAATATTTTATGCAGCTACTCCACCCTCCAGGAAGAGGAACAGAACTCCCCATGCCAGTAGGGCACCTGTCCAGAGTGACTTCCTTCCAAAACGAACAGTACATAAAGGAGGGAAAGAGTCACTCCACAGTGGAGAAACCTGGCAAATATGACCTCAGCCATGCAGTCAAGCCCAGCAACCCGAGACATCTTGACAGCATCACCCTTAATATGAGAGGATGAGAAGAGCACTTAACCTCTGTGGTTTTCCTTCCCAAAACCCATAACCACAGCTGAATCATGAGAAAAACACCAGAAAACCAAAATAGGGAATTCTACAAATCACATGACCAGTATTCCTCAAAACTCTCAAGGTCACCAAAAAGGACAGCCTGAGAAACTGTCACTGTCTAGAGGAGCCAAGGGGACATGAAGACTCAAAGTCATGTGGGATTCTGAGACAGAATAAGGACATTAGGAAAAAACCAGTAAGTTCTGAATAAAATATGCCATGTAGTTAACTAAACACACACACAAATGAGCAGAAATAAAAGCAGGGAAATCTGAATGAGACCGTGGATTGCATCAAAGATAGACTGTACCAATATCAATATCCTGGTGATAACTGTACTCCATTTCTGCAAGAAGTTACCCTTGGGGGACTAGGGAAAGATACACAAGATTATTATTTCTTACACCAGTATGTCACTCTACAATGATCTCAAAATTAAAACATTAACAGAAAAATGTTTACATTTTAGACCTTTTACTTAGACCCCACCTAGTATGAATGGTGTAATGTTTTGTTGTGATGATTTGAAAGATCCAGTTCACTATAAAGTAAAAAGCAAATTCCTCCTCTGGCCAATTCCATTTCCTGTACCTCTATGGTTCTGACTGGAAACCCGTGTGGGGGAGGTCTTAACCAGTTAATATAGAAATGATATCAATAGCTAATGCAATGTATTTGGAAAATCCAAATGAGGAAGTATTAGGTTGGTGCATATCTTTATTTCTCAAATTTTCCTAAGTCAGAACAAATGGAAAGAGAATATTATTCAGACTAATCCAGATTTGCTTTCTATGAAAATCTAATGTCTGGATTTTCCTTTTCTCATGGCCTAAGAAAGTAAGTATTGATAAGGAATGATTTGAATGTACTTTTGTGAATGTGTGGAAAATATAAAGCAGGGATTTAGCCTTAATAGAGGTAACCTTCTGACATCTGTTAATGCCCTTTTGTACTCTTATCCTGTATCTGCACTCTGTTATTTCGAGATGTCATACTATACACTGTATTGTAAAAATAAAAAGTAAAATTATATTTCAAAAAAAATAAAAATAAAAAAATTTAAAAAATTAAAAAAAAAAAAAAAGCAAATTCCTCAAAGAAACAAAGTTTGAAAGTCTACTTTAAAAATAGCATGTACCATTCCAGCCCTGTGAGAGACCAAGGCGGATCTCCTTAAGCCAAAAGTTCCACACCAGCCTGGGCAACACAGGGAAACCTAGTCTTTATTTATGTATTTATTTTGAGACGGAGTGTCGCTCTGTAGCACAGGCTGGAGCACAGTGGCGCGATCTCGGCTCACTGCAACCTCCACCTCCCAGGTCCTACTTCAAGCAATTCTCCTGCCTCAGCCTTCCGAGTAGCTGGGATTACAAGTGCATGCCACCATGCCCAGCTAAGTGTTGTATTTTTGGTAGCGATGAGTTTCACCATGTTACCCAGGCTGGTCTTGAATTTCTGAGCTAAGCAATCCTCTTGCCTTGGCCTCCTAAAGTGCTGGGATTACAGGCGTAAGCCACAGCGCCCAACCTATCTTTTAAAAATAAATAATAATAAACTAAAATAGCACATTATCACAAAAATGAGCTAGACTAAGAACATTAAAATAAAAACAAGTGGCCAGGCGCAGTGGCTCACGCCTGTAATCCCAGCACTTTGGGAGGCCGAGGCAGGTGGATCACGAGGTCAAGAAATCGAGACCATCCTGGTCAACAAGGTGGTCTCTAAAATACAAAAAAACGTAGCTGGGCATGGTGGCGCACGCCTGTAGTCCCAGCTACTCAGGAGGCAGAGGCAGGAGAATTGCCTGAAGCCAGGAGGCAGAGGTTGCAGTGAGCCAAGATCACGCCATTGCACTCCAGCCTGGGTAACGAGCGACTCCGTCTCAAAAAAATATATAAATAAATAAATAAAAACAAGTGATGAGAGCGCTCTACAATGTGCTTACCACCATCCCAGGACCTGGCTGAGCCGGTAAAGACTGAGTCATTGTTGGATGGCTCGGAGGGGTGGCTCATGCCTCTCATCCCAGGACTTTTGGAGGCCAAGGTGAGAGGATTGTTTAGCTCACAAGTTCAAGACCAACCTGGGCAACATGGTGAAACTCATCGCTGCCAAAAATACAAAAATTAGCCAGGTGTGGTGGCGCATGCCTGTAGTACCTGCTACTTGGGAGGCTGAGGCAGGAGGATCACTGGAGCCCAGAAAATTGAGGCTGCAGTGAGCCATGATCACGCCACTGCACTCCAGCCTGGGTGACAGAGCCAGACCCTGCCTCAAAAATAATAATAATAATATAATAATAATGTGTTTTGAGGACACAGTGCTGTAAAATTTTAGATTCCAAGAAAAACGATTTTAAAAACATTACCTATTCTCCAAAGTGTCTATATTCAAAATATAATGTAGAACATTAAATCATAATCACTTCCTACCAGTTCCTATCTTTATGGACAAACCCTGAAGTGGTAAGAAATGTTATATTTAACACACACAAAACACAAAGGAGAGTCTGTGGTTGTGCCAGTCCTAAATCATGAAAATATTATAGTCAGCCACACAAGAGTTTTACTGCAATTCAAGCTTATTTTGGACAGAAATGTAAGCCTGATCATGTTTTTGTCATTTTCTGCCTATTAAAAGACGAATCAAAGTTTGGATACAAAATCTGTAACCCACCTGCCCTCAGATAACAAAACTTATAATTGTTATTCACTCAGGGATTCATTTCTGTAGTTAAAACTAACTGTACCTGAGATGTCAATCTCAAAAAGCACCTTTTTGTGTGCACAAAGATTATAATTTAAATTGAAGTCTGTTGTTTTGAGATAGGTTTTGTTGCTCAAGCTGGAGTACAGTGGCACAATCGTCAGCTGAGTTGAAGTACTTTTATAGTCAAGTTCGTATCATTAAAACCAAAATATGGCTGAGCTCAAGTAGCTCTGGCCTGTAATCCCAGCTGTTTGGGAGACAGGAGGATGGCATGAGGCCAGGAGTTCCAGAGCAGCCTGTGCAACATAGCAAGACACCGTCTCTACAAAAAGTAGAAAAATATTGGCCGGGCATAGTGGCAGACACCTGTAGTCCCTACTACTTGGGAGAGGCTGGAGTCCAGGAGTCTGAGGCTGCAGTGACCTCTGATCAGACCACTGCACTTTCAGCCTGGGTAACAGAGCAAAGCTCTGTCTCTATAAAAACTAATTTTTTTTTTTTTGAGACGGAGTTTCACTCTTGCTACCCAGACTGGAGTGCAATGGCGCGATCTCGGCTCACCGCAACCTCCGCCTCCTGGGTTCAGGCAATTCTCCTGCCTCAGCCTCCTGAGTAGCTGGGATTACAGGCATGCGCCACCACACCCAGCTAATTTTTTTGTATTTTTAGTAGAGACGGGGTTTCACCACGTTGACCAAGACGGTCTCAATCTCTTGACTTTGTGATCCACCTGCCTCGGCCTCCCGAAGTGCTGGGATTACAGGCTTGAGCCACCGCGCCCGACCCAAAAACTAATTTTTAATTAAATGTCCTCAGCTTACAGATCTGATGAGAAGTCTATGCAGATTGTTCAATATTTCTCAAACCAACTCTTCCTTAACTTGGCCACTAGACAGTGCTAGAAATGTAGTTACACCGTACATGAAGTGATACCGGAATTTCAAGTCCCCCGAGTCAGAGGAAAAAGCGAGGAGGCCTTAAGGGCTCCTTGCTGGCACACTGTCAACTGGCACTGCAGCAGCCCCCCACCTGAATTTTCAAAAGAACATTTTTCACTGCCCATCTACAGCTCAACTTCTAACTGGTGAATACCATAGATGTGGTTCAACAGTTTTCAAACTAAGCAACTAACATCTCAAATTAAAAGATTAATCAGAGCCATATGTAGTGTAAAAAAAAAAAAAAAAATTCTTTCCTTTAGGAAATTAGGCAAAGCTAGTTAACGGTGGTTTAAACTTGACTCCTTCAGTATGGTTCAAAAATACCAGAGGGGGGAAGAAGAAAGGGAGAGGGAGGGATGGAAGGGAAAAAGGAAAAGAGGAGGGAGAGAACAAGTGGGGCATTCCCCACTTCTTCCGAAGTAGAAATGGATCTTGGGCGCCCGTCACATCCCCATCCGGACACCACTGACCCAGAACTGCAACAGGACATTCCCCTGTAGAAAGCTGGCTTCAACTACGCCATCTTTTCCTAAAGGCACACAATTCCATTAGCAAGATTCTCACTCCAATCCTAACAAATGTTTTACCTCTGATGGTCTTCTAGACGTAATGCTTCCCAATATCATTACCAATAAAATAATTTTTGAGTTGCTGCTTACATACCCCTACAGTCTCCGCGAACCTGTTGGTTTTACCACCGAAAAAGGCCACTTAAGGTGGAAACTGCCCTCAAAACTCCCAATCTCGGACTGTAATCTGCAAAAGCGTGTGAAACTGCAAAATCAAAGTGTAGTCACATGGAAGAATCACATTACCTTCTGATTTCCAAATCTTTTTTTTTTTTTGCACATCCCATGGTGGCTTTATTCAGTCACGTGCCCACACCCACAGCTCCCTCCACCATGCAGACAGAGGGGAGGCCACCCCACCACAGCGTCTGGGAACCTCGGGCTGGCACAGGGTCCTGGCCAGATGGCACCGACCCCAGGAAGACTCGGTCCCCACCCGGAGGGTCCCTCGGGGGCCCAGCCCTTGAGCCCACCCCGAAAATTTGTGCTTTGACTGCGACAGGGAGCAAGAAGCTGCTGCCAGTCCACTGCCCTGTGGCTGTCCTTGCAGGGCACCTGGCCGAGTGGAGAGCCTGGCTCCCGAGTGGCACTTCCTTGGCCCCACAGCCTGGCACCATCAGGGGTCACGGCCCAGCCACAGAGGTGACTCTGCTCATCAGTCTGCCCCAGGCAGTGACCAGATCCCAGATCCCAGGTGGGGCAGAGGCAGGACAGGCCCTCTCGATGGGCCTAAGGTCAATGCAGGTAATGAACCCCCCCCGTAGGAGCCCAGGGTTCAGGCCGCCGCTTCCTGGAACCTGACCTCACCGAGGCACTGGGGTATCAGGAGCACATCAGATCCTTCAAACAGCCTCAGACCAGAAGCTCCCCAGACACCTGGGCAACTCAAGAAGCATCTGGGAGACTTGTGCTGTCCAAGTGGCTCCTGACACTTCTGGGAGTGTCAGTACCACCCCAAAGCTGGGTGCCTGTGTTCCCACTATACAAAAGGGAAACTGAGGCAGGGGGCTGGCTGACATCATTCTGGCAGCAGCTGGTGTCCCCGCGGCAGCAGAGGCCGCCTGGTGATGTGCACATCCAGCCTTGACGGTCACAGATTGACTGAAGGAGCATGGCCTCCCGGGCGTGCCATTTGGCCTGTGAGCATCTGTGGTGCCGCCAGCTGCATGGCAGGGCAGAGGGTGGCACCATCCTGGACGTCCCCTATGGAGGACCAGAGTCCCGTCCTCCTGCCACACAGTGGGTGATGTGCATTTTGAAAACGCCTTCAGACTGAGAAACCCTCCCAGGAGTCCGCGCTCCTTGGTGCCAAGCCGCCGGGCACCTGCTGGCTGCTCTCCAGTATCAAAAAGCTGGGGGCAGCAGCCGTGGGAGAAGCTGGCCTCAAGCCCCAAGGTCATGGGGAACCAGGCAGGACCTGGGCTCTTTAGAGGATGAGCAGGGAGGGTCTTTTGGGTGGGGCAGCCCCAGCTGTGTGCCCCGAGGCACGGAGAAGGGAAGAAGGCCAAGGCGGGAGCCAGGAGCACAGCATTCCTCACAGGCGTCTCCAGGGCCCCGAGCCTGGTCCATGTGGGGCCGAGGGCCACAACTGCAGGCGGCTCTCACGGCACAGGCTCTCGGCAGGGCTTCTGAAAGGACAGGGAGGGCTGGCTTTAGCGACTCCACAGGATGGGGACGCCTGGGCTCTTCCAGGGAGACGGAGCACTCCATGCGTGACAGGCAGCCCCAGTGCAGGGCGACTCCAGGCAGCCCCCACAGTCCGCAACACCTGCCCTAGACATGCTCTATCCCCGGGGCCGGGTCGGGTCCGGCTCCTCGGGCTCCTCCTCCTCCTGGTCGTCATTCTCGGTGCAGGCCTTGTCCAGTGGTGCCTCGCCGTCTCACAACAGCTCCTCCACGTGCGCCAGCATGTCGACCATCAGCTCCTCCTCCAGCCGCTTCGACACCTGCTGCACTAGCTCCTCCTGCTTCCTGAAGTCCTCCTCTGTCACCATGAAGGCTTTGCACGGGGGCTGCGTGGTGTTGAGCCACACGCCGAGGTTCTTCTCCACGGTGGCCGACAGCTGCCTGGTGATGGGCATGGTACTGGTATGCAGGGCGCTGGCGATGGCCGACAGCAGCGTCTCATCTGTGCAGCCGGATCCCACCCCTGGCGCGGCTGGTCCACCGCCTTCTGAGGGTTGCTCTTGACCTTGTTGCTGGGGTGACTGGTAATCTTGGTCACCGGCTGCTTGAAGATGGACGCCGTCTGTCGCACTGACAGCGCCGTGTTCAGGTCGGGCTTGCCCTGCAGGAGGAAGGCGCTGCAGCCCGGCCTGGGGTCTCCCCGGCGGCTCAGAGCCTCCAGGGACGCGGGTCCCGGACGACCTCCCGCCTTGCGGGCGTCCCTCGCGTCCTCCGGGACCTCCACACTCCGGGGAGGCCGCTCCCGCAGGCTGGGCCCGGCCAGCTCCTCCAGAGCCCCCGTCGCGGGTCGCGTCCTCGCCATGCGCACAGCGCTCTGTGCCCGGCGCCTTCCGCTCTGCAGCCTCCACCCCGCGCCGCGCCCTGCACCCTGTGTCCTCTGCCCGCTGTGACCTCCCGCGCTCTGGACACCGGGCTGCGTCGCCTGCCCATCTCCAAATCTTTAGCAAACCTAACTGCAGGACGCAGGACTAGACTCGCTCCTGGCTAAGGCCTCCTACAACCCGGAGCGCGCTTTCAAGTCCACTCCTCTGGGCCGAAACGCAAACCCGGCCGCAGCTACCCACCCGCCACCCCCTCCCTCCAGCTCCTCGCGAGCCCCAAGCAGGCAGCGAAGCTCCCGCCCCACGCCCCGACCCCGCCCCCTTCCCTAGCGCCCCTCCAGGGTCGCTCTCCGCGGCTGGCGTCCGCTGCAGACAAACGCCCAGATCCCGACGGCCCCTCACCCTTTACTCAGTTTTTTGACACATTTCTTTCTCAGCACCCCCATCCAACCCCGAACCCTCTAGAACCAAGAGGATTACTCGCAGAGACCTCGCGCTGGAACGCCGGGGACCGCCCACCAAAGTCCCAGGCTCCCCGCGCCGCTCGGCCGGGGAGCACCGCCCCCCGCCCGGAAGCACTCACCCCTCCAGGGCCGAGGAGAGAGAGAGAGAGGAGGGGGAGGAAGGGAGAGAGAGGAGGAGGAGGGAGGGGGAGAGAGAGGAGGAGGAGGGAGGGGGAGAGAGAGGAGGAGGAGGGAGGGGGAGAGGGAGGAGGGGAAGGGAGGGGGAGAGGGAGGAGGAGGAGGGGGGAGAGGGAAGAGAGGTGAAGAATGAGAAAAGAAAGAGGGGACGGGGGAGGGAAAGAAAGGGGGTTAAAAAGAAGAGAGAACAGAACGGGAGGAGAAGAAGACATCTGAGGGCAGACGGTGAGGGGAAGAGAAGGAAGGACAGGGGAAGGCAAGGGGGGAAGGGAAGGGGGAAGAAGGGCCCTCCCCCAGGCTGGCATCGAGAGAGGCCGGAGGCCCTGAGCCCTCCCTGGGGTAGGCTGCCGGGCGCACCTTGCGCTTGCGGGCCTCGGCCGTGCCGCTCCACACGAAGCACTGGTAGATGGCCCGCAGGTTCTGCTTCCAGTTGTCCACCTTGAAGCTGCCCAGGTGCGAGCAGCCCGGCGGCGCTACCGCCAGCTCGGCGTCCATGGCCTCGCCCTCGGCCTCTGGCCGGGACACCATGGGGGGCAAGGCCCGGCCGCGCGCGGGGGGCGGTGGCGACGGGGGCGAGGACGACGCCAGCGCGGCGTGAGGGCTGCCCGGCGGTGGGCCTGGCCAGCCAAAGCACGGGCGCCAAGAACAAAGCGCGGAGGCCGGACAAAGATGGGGCTGGCAATCGCCAGGGGAGGCTGCGGGGCAGGCACCGCCCCCGAGCAGCAGCTGCTGCGGGCCGCCTGTGCTGCGCTCTCCCGGTTCGCGGAGGGCGTCGCGGGGCGGGGCGCCGCGGCGGAGGACGGAGATTACGTCACCCCCCACCCCCCCCCCCCCCGGCCGGCACCGCACTGCGCAGTCTCCAGCCCGCGCCAGGTCCCTTCCCCCACTCCTCTCACGGGTCCGCGGGCTGTGGGTAGATCCGCGTCCAAGGAAGCGTGGGCTGGGGAGCTAACGAGGGCCCGCCCTCTCCCCTTCTCTTATTGGTCGCCGGCCTGTCGCTGCACCTTCGGCCATTGTCATAGGCTCTCAGTACAGTTTGTCTAGTTCAGAGCCGCCTCCTAGGACCCAGGCGACTAGACGTTCAGTGTCTCCTCCCGAGGACTGGAGAGGCGGGGGCGTGCTGCGGTTGGGCGGTGCTAGACATTGGTCGCAGCAATGAACCAGTTTGCGCCGGCCGGAGCTCTGCCGCAAAGAGGCGGAGCGACGAGCTGGGGCGCTGTGGGTCGGGCCTCCATCCAGGGCCTGCGCTTTCCTGCCCAACGGCAGCTCTTACTGGGGAGCTGTCTGCAGAGGCCCCGGTTGCCCTAACCTGCATCAGGCCGTTCAATGGCCGTCGCTCGGGGCTGGAACTGCCAGCTGCCTGCTGGGCGCCGCTCCGGGCCGCAGGCTGGGGTGCCTCTGGTCCGGAGCCGGCGGATAGTGAGGACCATCCCGGCGCCATCCAGTTTAAAGAGGATGCACGCCACACGCCTGACTTCACATTTGCTAATCACTACATTTTTCTAATGAAAAAAAAAAAGTTAAATATAAGAATGTACCTTAACCCAATAGAGTCAAAATATTTCAACACGTAGGCAAGTATTGCAAAATTGTTAGTGGAATGTTTTACAGTTTTTGCAGTAAGTCTTCGAAATCTGGCATTTACACTTACAGCACATCCAATTCCTACTGCTACCACAATGGGCGACACAGGTCTAATCGGTATACGAATTAGACCCAAGGCAAACTGAAAACACCTTTAAAGACAGAGCAAACAGGCCCGGCGCGGTGGCTCACGCCTATAATCCCAGCACTTTGGGAGGCCGAGGCAGGTGGATCACGAGGTCAAGAGATGGAGACCATCCTTGTCAACGAGGTGAAACCCCGTCTCTACTAAAAATACAAAAATTAGCTGGGCATGGTGGTGCGTGCCTGTAGTCCCAGCTACTTGGGAGGCTGAGGCAGGAGAATTGCTTGAACCCAGAAGGCGGAGGTTGCGGTGAGCCGAGATCGTGCCATTGCACTCGGTAACAACAGTGAAACTCCATCTCAAAAAAAAAAAAAAAAAAAAGAGCAAACAATGTTCTGTGGGAGCCAGGGCGCAAGGGTCTGGGGGAACTGGGATGAGGTCCCTATACTCATCCCACTGCTAACTGCTTTGTTCATTCATCCACAGATTGCAGGAAACAGCATTTGCGTCCAGAGCCATCGCAAGTTAAAAATAAAGATTGTGATCTCACAGCAGGGTTTAACGGGCTGATGACTGGATTAATGCTCTTGTGGTCAAGGTTAATTCCGCTCACAGGTTTTTGCTTCATGACCTTTGTGCTTGCAGTACCCTCTGCCTAAGATGTTTTCTGTACCCCTTCATGCCAGCATCCTTATATTCCATGGCTGATGCTCGCTGACATCCATCACAAACCTCCTTTTCCGTGAGGCCTTCCACTGCCACCCTAATGAAAACTTCAATCCCCTCAAAATTCCCTATTCCCTTACCCTGCTTTGTTTTTCTCCAAATAATGTATCACTATCTGGTGTAATGAATATTTATTTTTGTCTCTTCCCTCAATAGCCTGAAAAATTTCAAGAGGGTCGTTTTTTTTCTGAGACATGAGTCTCGCTTTGTTGTCCAGGCTGGAGTACAGTGGTTCAATCTCCACTCACTGAAATCTCCACCTCCGAGGTTCAAACGATTCTCCTGCCTTAGCCTCCCCAGTAGCTGCGATTACAGATGCCCACTACCACGCCCTGCTAATTTTTGTATTTTTAGTAGAGAGGGGCTTTCACCATGTTGGTCTGAAACTTTTACTAGAGATGGGGTTTCACCAGGCTGGTCTCAAACTTCTGACTGCAAGTGATCCACCCGCCTCGGCCTCGGAAAGTGCTGGGATTCCAGGCGTAAGCCACTGCACCCTGCCTCCAAGAAGGTAATGATATTTTCGTGTTTTATTTACTACTACAGCCATGAATTCCCAGAACTGTATTGGCTGCATGCAGGTACTCAGAATTACGTGGTGAAGCCCTGTAGTAGTCCCAGCTACTCCAGAGACTAAGGCAAGAGGATCGCAGGTCAAGGCTGCAGTGAACTGTGATTGCGCCACTGCACTCCAACCTGGGCAACAAAGCAAGACCCCATCTCTAAAAAACAACAAAAAAATCAAAACAGAAACCTGCCAAATTAACCCCAAACACGTTTACAGAAAAATCTAACAAGACCATTTCTAGAATAAAACACTTGTTAAGGAAAACCATGTTTATGTTAGAGGAAAGAATGTCAGCTTACTAAAAAGTAAAATCATAACAAGTCAGGAATTACAAAAATATGTGATCCACCTCTATAAATATTGATGTAAGGAGTTTTCACATATTGTTGGGTTTACACAAATATGATTTGGCTTCAAGAATGTGTATTAGCATTCAGGCCCTAATATTTATAGCCTTTTTAATCAATATGGTCATCTAACCACGAAGAAGTACTGTCCACTTAAATCAATTATGATTTAAATAAATGGTCCACAATCAGGACAAGCTTATTGATGTTTAAAAATTTTAACTACAGAATATACCCTTGAGAAGCAGTCCCCAAAAGATGTAGGGACAAAGCTGTTTAGTGAAGTGCTTCTTTTGTAATGGGAAGAAAAAATGGAAATGTTAATGACAATTAATAGGAGAATGGTTGAATAAATGATGGACCAGTCATTCTAGGGAATACTACACAGCTATTAAAAAGAATGAAGTCCACCTTTGGCAGTGTGATGAAACCCCATCTCTACAAAGAAATTTTAAAAAACGGGCTGGGCGCGGTGGCTCATGCCTGTAATCCCAGCACTTTGGGAGGCCGAGGCGGGTGGATCACGAGGTCAAGAGATTGAGACCATCCTGGTCAACATAGTGAAACTCCGTCTCTACTAAAAATACAAAAAATTAGCTGGACATGGTGGCGCATGCTTGTAATCCCAGCTACTCAGGAGGCTGAGGCAGGAGAATTGCCTGAACCCAGGAGGCGGAAGTTGCGGTGAGCCAAGATCGCGTCATTGCACTCCAGCCTGGGTAGTAAGAGCGAAACTCCGTCTCAAAAAAAATAAAATAAACTTAAAAAAACAAAAAGAGAGCCGGTGGTGTTGGTGCATGCCTATAGTCCCAGGGGCCCAGCAGGCTGAGGCGGGAGGATTGCTTAGCATAGGAGGTCGAGGCTGCAATGAACCCTGATCATGCCACTGATTCCAGCCTGGGCCATCAAGCAAGACTTGCTCTTGCTCAAAAAAAAAAAAAAGAAAGAAAGAAAGAAAGACGTAGATCTGTAAGTACTAGCATGAAAAGTCATAAAACATAAATGAATAAAATGAATTGCAGAAACTTACAGAAAATATGCTGACATTTGTACAAAAATAATGCAAGGCCTGGAAGAAAGAAACATACCCATAAATCACAGTCACTTCTGGAAAGGAAAAAGTAGATGTGACTTAATCTGTAGTGTTTGAATGTTTTCTTAAAATGAAAATTAATAATATATTCCTTTGTATTTAAAAATCACTAAAACTTAAAAAGAAATGACAAAGTGTCATGGTACAAGGGAGTATAAGGAAACTACAGCCCAGAGAAAGAGACCTTGTTCAAGTTCACTCATTCACACTGTTCTAGAACACGTAGAAAACGGTGATCCACATGTTTAATAAATCCATTTATTCATGTATCCAAAAACCATGTCAGATTGCTAAATTATGATCTGACTCTACCACCTGCTATCTGTGTAATCTTGGGCAGATTGCCTAAATTCCTCAGCCTGTTTACTTACCTGTTAAAACTGGGAGAATATCAGCTCTGTGCTTACATTGAAGTGTGTGGCAAGGAATAAATGTGATAGTCCATGCAAAACTCTTACCAAGTGCCTGTTGTTTATTAAGGGCTCAAGAGACATTAGTAGTTATTGATCTGATAGTTGCTGGGAATTTAGATGATTATAACAATTTGTTGCTTCAAGAATCGCAGGGTTATGGGAGGGAATAATTTTTTTAATTGCATTTTAGGTTTTGGGGTACGTGAAGAACATGCAAGATAATTGCATAGGTACACACGTGGCAGTATGATTTGCTGCCTTAATCCCCATCACCTGTATCTGGCATTTCTCCCCATGCTATCTCTCCCCAACTCCCCACCCCCCACTGTCCCTCCCCTATTTCCCCCCCAACAGACCCCGGTGTGTGATGCTACCCTCCCTGTGTCCATGTGCTCCCTGTGTCCATGTGTTCTCATTGTTCAACACCCACCTATGAGTGAGAACATGCAGTGTTTGATTTTCTGTTCTTCTGTCAGTTTGTTGAGAATGATGGTTTCCAGGTTCATCCATGTCCCTACAAAGGACACGAACTCATCGTTTTTGATGGCTGCATAGTTTTCCATGGTGCATATGTGCTACATTTTCCTTGTCCAGTCTATCATTGATGGGCATTTGCGTTGGTTCCAGGTCTTTGCTTTTGTAAACAGTGCCACAATGAACATTTGTGTGCATGTGTCCTTATAGTAGAATGATTTATAATCCTTTGGATATATACCCAGTAATGGGATTGCTGGGTCAAATGGAATTTCTATTTCTAGGTCCTTGAGGAATCGCCACACTGTCTTCCACAATGATTGAACTAATTTACACTCCCACCAACAGTTAAAAATGTTCCTATTTCTCCACATCCTCTCCAGCATCTGTTGTCTCCAGATTTTTTAATGATTGCCATTCTAACTGTCATGAGATGGTATCTCAATGTAGTTTTGATTTGCATTTCTCTAATGGAAATAATTTTTTTAATTAAAAAAAAAAAAGGCCAGGTACAGTGGCCCACACCTGTAATCCGTGCACTTTGGGAGGCCGAGGTA